CTGTTCAATATACTCAACAATGTTGCGCAGCGTACCAATGTGGTCAGTACAATCATAATCTGTCTTGTCGAGAACCAGTTTAAGTCTATAGAGATTGAATGTTGTGATTTGAGATGATAGTGAATAATTAAATGACGAGGTGGCCGAGTGGTTAAGGCGATGGACTGCTAATCCATTGGGGTCTCCCCGCGTGGGTTCGAATCCCATCCTCGTCGACTTACTTTTTTCCAGTTTCATTTAAAAATGTGATTTAGACGTTTATATTTGTATATGATTTTGATACGACTCTAGCATAAGATGTTAGCACAATAATTTGCAGAATTTTTTTGGGAGCATCTCTTACAATGAAATTTTTTTTAAATGTATACAGTTTATATATTTTTAGACAGAAAATATATACTTAAATAAGTGCCCCGCCCCCATCCCGGAGAAAAATGTCGGAAAGAAACACAGATGTAGTTTTTCTTTACGCGTTGCTGTTGTGAACTATACTACTTAACCATAATAGTGACGTCATCGTCAAAGCAAGAGAAAGTATAGGTGGATGGTCAAAGAGCTGCCAACTTCACATACCGAGATCACAGAAATAGGCAGGGGCGTAGCGAGGGGGGGGGCGGGGGGTGCGGACCGCACCGGGTGACACCATTTAGGGGGGTGACACCAAGGCAAAAAATAGCAAAATATATAGAGAAAAACTCGAGGGGGGGGGGGTGCAAATCGAAAGTTTGAGGGGGGGTGCAAATCGAAAACTCGAGGGGGGGGGGGTGCAAATCGAAAGTTTGAGGGGGGGGGTGCAAATCGAAAATTTGAAAGTTTGTCCCTGGGAAGGGTCTCTATGCCTCTGGGGGGGGGGGGTGACACCATTAAGTGCCGCACCGGGTGACACCCGACCTCGCTACGCCACTGGAAATAGGTGAACTCTACTTCACCTATCCTATTAGGTCTGAAAGGGTATCTTTGCTCTTGCACACCCAAACTATTGTATTTTCTTATTCACAACGCAGCGGAATTTCTTAAACTGTGCCCTAAGTGAACGGACGAGAAATGATTAGGCAAGGCGGTAACGGACTTGATATGTCTGAGGTCATAAACTTGACAAAACTACTCCCGCGGTTCGTCTGCTGGTTGTTCTTGCATAAGATAATTGCATTGTCTGCACGTGCTTGGAGAGGTGGGTGGTGTAGAGGCTGAAGTTGTTTTTGCTTTTGTTGCGTTTTTTGTTTTCACGCTGTCAGAAAAACCTTATAGAGAAAGATAGAGGCGCTTTAAAGAAACGAAAAAATACCTGCTGTACTGTTAGGATAATGATAAATATAAGAGTTAGGGGATGAGACCTTCAATGTGAACTACTATATTATTCGGTGTTCTATTTAATATTTCTCTATGGTGATGTTGTAGAGGCTGGGTTGTTTTTGCTTTTGTTGCGTTTTTTGTTTTCACGCTGTCAGAAACACCCTATAGAGAAAGTTAGGGGCGCATTAAAGAAAAGAAAAAAAAAATACCCGATGTACCGTTAGGATAATGGTAAACATAAAAGTTAGGGGAATACTCAGGGTAAGCGTGAGCTTCTTGCTAGTTGCGTTACAGTAAGTCTAACCCTCGTACTAACCCTCAGAGGCGTAGCGACGGGGGGGGGGGGGGGGTAAATATGCCCCCGGGCGCAGACCCTAGGGGAGCCGAAATAAGCTCATTTTAGCTGTTATTTTGAATTATAAATATAAAAAAATATATGGGGGGGGGGCTCCAAATTGAAAGTATGTCCCCGGGCGCCGGCAGGGGTCGCTACGCCTCTGCTAACCTAACCCTAGCCCAGTTTCTAGTCTTCATTCGACCCCTGTGTCATACATTGACACTACTGCGAAAGATGAACTCGATTGTAGTGTGTCTTTTCTATTGGCCTTTTAAAAAAACCTTAAAACCCAATTTCAATTTCTGATGATGTCCAAGATACAAAACTTTTTTTTTTAATTCCTTACCAGACGTCTTGAGTTAAGCGATAAAATAAATAAATGAAACAGCACCGGCTAGACTTGACTGAACTGTTTGGTTGTTGTTGCGGCTAATGGTTTCTCTTTCGCCTGGTTTTCTAATCGATAACAGATCGCTGGGGTTGACATAATGTGTGGGAAATTTTTCTGGCTTAGTCGCAAACATTTCACCGCTGTCTGAAATTCTTCTTCATCTTCGTTCGTTGTAATGTTGAAGGGGATATGGCCGGTTGACTCCTATTGCTTTTCTGTCTGGATTTACTTCCCTAGCAGTTTTTCTTTCAGACATTGTTCTTGGACTTAAATTTCCAGGATGGGGGACGCCTCTGAAGTATATTTTGTGTACTATATAAATTATATTTTGTTCGGTGGCAACAATTTATATCCCCAAAAAAAACCACAAGTCGGCATCCTCTCCTCACACATAAATTATGGGAAGTCTCTCACCCGCCCTACCACACATAAATACATTACACAGTTACTCACTCAGCCCATCACACCACACACACATAGACTACAACAAGACAGTCATTCAGACACACCACACCATACACACACATAGACTACAACAAGACAGTCACACACACACCACACCACACACATAGACTACAACAAGACAGTCACTTACCCACCCTACCACAAACAAATACATCACAGCAATTACTCATCCACCCCACCACACCACACACATATAGACTACAGCAAGACGGTCATACACCCCACCAAACACAAATACATCACAGCAATTACTCATCCACCCCACCACACCACACACATATAGACTACAACAAGACGGTCATACACCCCACCAAACACAAATACATCACAGCAATTACTTATCCACATCACCACACCCAGACACATCACCCCATCACAGATAAATACATCACAACAGTCATTTACCCACAACACCACACACACACACACATACATCAAGGCAATCACTTACCCCCCACACACAGATACATCACACCAATCACTCCCCCACCCCATCCTTTATCTTTATCTTCAACACGGCTGGTCGATAGCCGCACTTGTTCTGTCCTTAAAATCTATCCAAAAAAAAACTCTAAAATCTTTCTAAAAACTTCCTAAGAACTTTCTAAAAACTGAGAAGCTTTTACTCAAATAGCTGTAAAAAGCTCCTAGGTTCAGTCAATTTCGTTTTGGGTTAGAGTAGTATTTTGGGAAACTTGCTAATTTCTTTTTTTTTTTGGGTACCCGTGGAGTCCCAGTTTGGGCTAGTATAGTAAAACAACGAATCCTATGTAGGGTTGGTTATTGAAGTAGCTGTTTATTAAACTTATCTAAAGTACTAAAATAAACTTTAAGAACCTTAATTAGTAGTTATATGACCTCAATCAGTAGCTATGGATTATGGAACCTTGATTAGAGTTTACACTTACACCTAAAAAGCCCGGATATAGTCAGTGGCGTAGCGAGGTCTGGTGACAACCCGGTGCGGCACTTAATGGTGTCACCGCCCTCCCCCCCTCCCCCCAGAGGCGTAGCGACCCATCATCCTAGGGACAAACTTTCGATTTGCACCCCCTCCCCTCAAACTTTCGATTTGCACCTCTTAAAAGACTATTTAACACTCGAATGAATCACTTAATGAAGTGGAATCATCATTTTTCTCTATATATTTTGCTCTTTTTTGCCTTGGTGTCACCCCCCTAAATGGTGTCACCCGGTGCGGTCCGCACCCCCCGCCCCCCTCTCGCTACGCCACTGGATATAGTTTAGCTTACTATTCATGGAATTCCTGTTAGGTTGAGTTTAGCTCTTTGGAAATCTCTGTTTAATTTAGTTTAGCTCCTAGGGAACCTCTGTTAGGTTGAGTTTAGCTCCTAGGGAATCGCTATTTGGTTTAGTTTAGCTAATAGGGAACCTCTGTGTTTGGTTTAGTTTAGCTCCTATGGAACCTCTGTTAGGTTGAGTTTAGCTCCTCTGTTAGGTTTAGTTTAGTTCAAAGGGAATCGCTATTTGGTTTAGTTTAGCTTCTAAGGAACCACTGTTAGGTTGAGTTTATCCCCTAGGGAACCACTGTTAGATTAGTTTAGCTCTAGCTATTTCCAGTGAACTTGAGATAAGGCGTTATAATCTGTGCCCAGGTTTAGCCTCATTTCCTCATTAAGCTCGAGCTTTGGCTCACAGCTTGTTATCAGGAATGTCAAGGTCACATCTTGCCATCTATGGAGAAGGGTTTATCGATCAGCCAATCGCAAAACGGAATGCCCCGGGGTTAGACCTCTCAGGGAGGTCTCATCCTTTGTTGTTGTTTTTTTTTCTGTTCGCTAATTATGTAGTTAATTTTTTTTCATGAAATTATGATTTCGTAATTCTAGATTTTTATTTGGGTTTTTTTTTTTATATGGTGTAATGAGAAGGGAAGTGTAACAGAAATAATTGGTCGATTTTAATTATTGTCGTGATGAGGCATGCGATAATTATTAAATAATTAATGAGTTTTTTTATAAAATGTCATGAAATAAAACGTTTCATATAGAAAGAGGAGACTACTGTCTTGACAAATCAGGGCAATAGAAAAAGTGAGCAATACAATTTTACGGAGAAAACAACTAATTTCTTTTAAGATAATCGTGGCTGGAATTTTTAAAAGGGGAGAGAACAGGATTTTTTATTAGACAAGCCCGAGTTGTAGTTCTTGTCGAAAAATTCTATAGAAAATATTATTTCACGTTGTGTAATTAGAGATTGTGTTTAGACTCTGTTTAATTATAATTTAACTATTCTATCAATTATTTTTGTTCACATTCATATACTCTATCTAATAATAAATAAATAAATATATATATATATATATATATATATATATATATATATATATATATATATATATATATATATATATATATATATATATATATATATATATATATATATATATATATATACTTTGTACACATATGTTTCGTTAATTTATTTATGGAATCTTTCAATATATTGGTTTTTATTTCCATCATAAAATCACTTAATTTTTTTTTTCAGAAAGCACAAATGGCCACACACCTATCAACATCGACGACGCCGAAGAAAGTAAAGTTCGCTGGGATTGGTCGAACCGTCAGAGCAAGATCGTGATTGGCTCGTTTGTCTCTATGATCATCGCTGTGACGTGGGTGGCCTTCAGTGTGTTGGTTCAGAACGCCGTGGAGACCAAGTCCTTTGACGCGCCCTTCTCGCTCACGTACTTCTTCCTGGTGTGTCCAGTTCTGCTCTTTCCCGCCTATTTGTGTGCTGCCCGCCTTGCCAACTACCAACCCACGTTGGAGATTTTAAGGTTAGGTTCGAGTCTCTTCCCATTTATTTTATTTATTCCTTTTTTGCCTGTATGTCAATAGGTTAAATGAAAGAGGGATCATCTGTTTATGTGACCTCGTCTTTAAAGGAATAGTGTGGTAAGTTCTATACCTATATGCCTTTCAGAGTTTCTTCTTGGCATCTCTCCGCCCCCCCCCCCCCTCGAAAAAATTCCCTCCCCCCCCCCCCCCGAACGAAATAGAATTTGTATAGAAAATATATACTTTTCCTAGTGTCCGCCCTCCCCACACCCTGGAAATTTTAGTCCGCCCCCCCCCCCCTCCCGAAAATTTAAAGTGCCCCTCCCCGGAAAAAAAGTCTGAAAGAAACACTGATGCCTTTACATTCCTTAGCATAAGACGAGTAACCATCAGAGCTGTGTGGACTCAGGATTCTTTGATTTGTAACATTGTGCAAAGCCAAAATTTCATAAGTCAATTAAATGCATAATAAATCCAAGATTTCAGCGTTAACAAAACTACAATGCCAAGTCATACATCGCCACGAAATTCCGAATCACATCACTCTAGAAGTAATTTATATAATATGGACGATCCCTAAACCTCCCCTACACTTCTCGTTCCCAGAGAATGTATCCACGTGTACCGAGGCAGCGACGAGTTCCAGAAACTGCCGTTCGTCTGGAAGTCGGTGCTCTTCTGTCTGGTGTCCACCATCACCATGTACACGTACATGAAGGCCTTGTACAAGCTGGAGGCCTCGGACTGCACCGCCCTGTACGCAGCCAATCACAGCTTCGTTTACTTACTGTCGTGGATTGTTTTGTTTGAGAAGTTCATAGCCATGAGGGTTAGTACTTTGGCCACTTGCCAGATTTTTGAAATAATGTTGTCCAAAACAAGAGTTGTATTGTTTATTGATACCAGATTTTTTGAATGATATTCTCCAAAACCATTATTTTTAGTTTTAGAAGTTCTGACATTTTCATCATCAGGGTTGTGTTGTACTATGTCTCCAGATTTTAACAATGAAATTATTCAAAAACTAAATTAGATATATTTATCTCCAGATTTATTTGCAATGATATTCTCCATCACCAGAACTATATTATTTATTGTTACCAGATTTTTGCAGTGATATTATAAAACTTGAATTATAACAGTGGCGTAGCGAGGTCGGGTGTCACCCGGTGTCACCCCCAAGAGGCGTAGCGACCCTCTGGGACAAACTCGATTTGCACCCACCCCTCAAACTTTCGATTTGCACCCCCCCCTCAAGTTTTCCATTTTGCACCCCCTCCTCAAACTTTCGATTTGCATCCCCCCCCCCCCTCAAGTTTTCGATTTGCACCCCCCCCCCCTCAAACTTTCGATTTGCATCCCCCCTCAAGTTTTTCTATATTTTGCTATTTTTTGCTTTGGTGTCACCCCCCTAAATGGTGTCACCCGGTGCGGTCCGCACCCCCCGCCCCCTCCCCCTCGCTACGCCTCTGAATTATAATGCGCAGTTATAATTTGCGCAATGACTTAATCCAAAACCAGATTTATATTGTGTCCAGATTTGTTCAATATTATTCCAAAACCTAAGTTATATTGTCTCCAGATTTTTGCCATGATATTCTCAATCACTGGTATCGTGTTGTTCGCCTATGTTGATGGCTACGGCAGCCCGGCCATGTTTGGTGTCGTCATGGGCGTGGCCTCATCTTCAGGTGCAGCTGTTTACGGGGTGAGTTCCGTGGACTGTCTTTTTACCTGGTAACAGAATAAATTAGAACTGTTCTTTACCTTGTTACAAACTGTTTCAGATACAGAAGAGACAGAATAAGAATTAATGTTTTCCTCGAATTTTGTGTGTGTGTGTGCTTGTGTGTGTGAGTGTGAGTGTGCGTGCGTGTGTGTGTGTGCGTGCTTGTGTGTGTGTGTGTGTGTGTCTAGAAACATAATTTGTCGATTGTATATACTTGATCAATAAATTGTGTACACATATTAAGAAAAATTATTGTCATTTGGACTTATCTTTACCCATTCTGTTATTTCTTTCTTCCTAGAATCCAATAGAAAAACAAAAATCATTATAAAACGTTAATCTTAAGATATAGGAAATGTTCTCCTTTAAAGATACTTCATTTTTTTTTCTTTTTAGGGATAATGAAAGAAAAACTGTTGAATAACATTTTATAGAAGAACCGGGGAGGATGGATGGGGGGGGGGATTAAGTGGAGCTGCCCATCACAACATTAAACTAACATTCCGGTGTCTTCTCTTCAGGTGCTGTATAAAAAATTTATTGGTGAGGCCACAGGTGCCCAGGCCGCCTTCTTTATATCTGTTGTAGGTGAGCAACGTTTTATCTGGGTCAGGTAACACACACACACGTGCACATACAAATCTGAAAATACAGACATACGCACACAAACACACACACGCACGCATATATATATGTGTGTGTGTGTGTGTATATATATATACAAATATATATTTTTTATTTTTCATTGATTTGTCTCTATATTATTTATAGGCTTATATATATATATATATATATATATATATATATATATATATATATATATATATATATATATATATATATATATATATATATATATATATATATAATGTACTCCATATATGAGCTAAATGCATGTAATTTCATTTAAATATATATATATATATATATATATATATTTATATATATATATATATACATATTCTATGCATCTGTACCTTCCCCTCCAGCGTTCTTCTCCTTGATATTGCTACTGCCACTGTGGTTGTTGCTGTACCTACTGAACGTGGAGAAGATCAACTGGGGTGAGGTGCCCTGGGGAATGATCCTACCAAGTGCTTTCTTAACTATAGGTCAGTGCTGGACTACCTACTCGGTCTATTAGTGTTAGACGTTATTAATTGGCTGTGTGGTGGTTTGTTTATCTTAACTATCGGTCAGTGCTGGACTACCTACCCGGTCTATTAGTGTTAGACGTTATTAATTGGCTGTGTAGTGGTTTATCTTAACTATCGGTCAGTGCTGGACTACCTACCTCGTCTATTAGTGTTGGACGTTATCAATTGGCTGTGTAGTAGCTTGCTTATCTTATTAAACCGTGGTTTTGTTTTGTATTGTTAAAAATGTTTAAAAAAAAAATTCCTTTTTCGAACCTGACGGTCCATGGGGCAAGTGAAGTAGAGTTTCAGGGACCACGGCATATGAACGGATAGTGTGGTTGCACTATGCCCAGCCGCCTTTACTTTATTCGAGACATAAGCACCCACCAGAGCTGGGTGGACTCAAGAACGTTTAACTGACTAGTACCCTGATTTGAACTATAGTTATAATGTTTTTTTAATGTATTTGTCACTTGTAGTTAAACCGTGAATTCATTAATTTATTGACTTATCAATTTATTTTAATTTATTACTGTTTTCGATTCGTGTTTTGTTATGTCTGTGATGTTTAATTAAGTTAATAAAGTTCTAATTAATTGATTACATAATTATGTTACTTAGTTGAATGTTTTACCTTGCCCTCAGTGTATTGGTGTGTAAAAGAGTGTACCGTCAAACTGACCTACAAAGTTTTCATCGGCCTCGGCCTGGTGTTAGCCATACCTGTGTGTGCGTGTAAGTACTCACTTTTAAAACATGGGGTACTGGGGCAGAGGCGTAGCGAGGGGGGGAGCGGGGGTGCGGACCGCACCGGGTGACACCATTTAGGGGGGTGACACCAAGGCAAAAAATAGCAAAATATATAGAGAAAAACTTGAGGGGGTGCAAATCGAAAATTTGAAAGTGTGTACCCGGGAAGGGTCGCTACGCCTCTGGGGGTGACACCATTAAGTGCCGCACCGGGTGACACCCGACCTCGCTACGCCACTGTACTGGGGTCCACTGTGTGTGCGTGTAAGTACCCCACTCAGTTTTAAATCATAGAGACCTCATTCGAGTACCATTATCTCTTCTAGTGCCGTCCACAAAGTGGGACTATTAACGTTAGCAGATTTTTTACTCACCGCCTCTATAGTCACAAATTCCCCCCCCCCCCCCCCCCCCCCCACCACCCAGCCCACTTTCTACCTGCTTTTCTTTAATTCCTTGTCCTTAAAAAGAGAATATACAACCCCGCATAGAATCCCCCCCCCCCCCCTCGCCAACACCCCATCCCTTATGTACGGCAAAGCAGCCTTCAAAATATTAATTTCAAAATTGATTATTCTAAAATATAAACACTGGTGTTTTTTTTCTTCAACTAGTGGCAGACGCAGAATGGAAAAATCGGAAATTCCCAGGAATGAAAATAGCCGCCCTGGTACTCATCACGATCGGTGTCATTCTAATTTTGTTGCCGGAAAATTGGCACGACTTCTTTTGTAAACATCTGAGAGGCAAACAACGAGACAGCGAGCAGCAGACGATAGGCAACAGTACAACACTTAGAGGGCGGCTCAGCCGAACTTCGTATATGTGATTTTAACACAAATCATTTCTTAATAAATAATTAAAATACGTCTATTTGGTCGGAATTTTAGTTAAGAGAAACGCATATGCAAAAAGACAAATCGAACAAGACCTAAATAAGATTACTTAATATAAAATCATGTTTGTTTTAATTGTATGTGTTCGAAGTGTACTGAAATTATTTAACATCATATAACTTTTATTTACGTTAATGTTGTTTCATGCATAAAACTATTGAATGAATATGAAGGCTATGAAGGCTTCACACATTAAAAAGTAATTTTATAGGTCTATATGTATAAATATAATTATAAATATATATGAATATACATATGAATATACATATGAATATATATATATATATATATATATATATATATATATATATATATATATATATATATATTCATATATATATATATATATATATATATATATATATATATATATATATATATATATATATATATATATATATATATATATATATATATATATATATATATATATATATATATATATATATACATATATATAAAATGTATTCCAAATGTATTCCAAAAACATGTATTCATCGCTTTATGACTTGATGGTCCATGTACATATTCTTTGTCTGTTTCAAACAAAAATGTTACATTTTACGCACCCCACCAACAAACCATCCTTTTATAGTTTTTCTAACATTTCCATAGGAACACTACCCAGCACATACACAGACACACATAGATCTACACAACACAACATATTTTTTTTTAATTTAATAACGGTAACCTGCATAGGTCAGTATAGGTATACTTCACTTTTAAGCAATCCTATTGGTACTTTAAAAAAAGAAAATATGTAAACCAAGTATGTGCTAACCTGTTCAATCATCCAATCAATTTACATGTTTATAAATTTTGCAAACTAACGAACCAATATCATTAAAAGCTTGGCTATGTATTATTTCACAATACCACCAACGTACCCTATAAAACACAATATAAAAAATTTTTAAAAAAAAACAACCTCACACCCCTCTTGTGTTAAATGATGTGTAATGTACACGATTCTCAAGGCTGGGTAGCTGTATAAGATGTTACAGAGGCGTAGCAAGGGGGGGGGGGGGCGGGGTACATATGCGCCGACACTAAGGGACACCAAAAAGGTTGGGAAAAAAATTAAAAGCTCATTTAAGCTGCAGTTTTGCATTATAAATATAAAAAATATTTGGGGGGGGGGGTGCCAAATTGAAAGTTTGTCTGGGGGGGGGGGGGGGGCGCCAAATTGAAAGTTTGTCCCGGGGGGCGCCAAATTGAAAGTTTGTCCCCGGGAAGGGTCGCTACTCCTCTGGGATGTTAGTTTCGTTGTATTAGGTAGACTATACTATACTTGAGCATAGCGATACATGTCTCTTGATCATCACATGTCAGTAAATGGTGCCCAGTGGGGAAATGCGCAACCGAAAAATTGCGCAAACATAAAATGCGCAAATACGAACGTATGTTTGTCATTCTTTGCTAACATCTTTGAATCATCGGTTTTTAAAAACAAAATTCCCAAGCGCACTTTTTTTTTTGCGCATTTTGAAGCAGTCAATATTTTTTTTTTTTTTAAATATATTTGTGATCATTATTTTAAATATGTTCATCATAACCCAGGCAATAATTGAATTGATTGTATTAATTTTAAAGTAACGTTCCAATGATCTTCAACTTGTGAAAAAGAAAAGTATGTTGTTGTAAGTGTAAGGGGAATTTATATGTATCGTTGTAAGATTGGATAGTTTTCATTTAATTATTTTTGCTTTTATTATTATTATTTCTATTATTATTATTATTATTATTATTATTATTATTATTATTATTATTATTATTATTATTATTATTATTATTATTATTATTATTATTATTATTGTTATTATTATTATTATTATTATTATTATTATTATTATTATTATTATTATTATTATTATTATTATTATTATTATTATTATTATTATTACTACTATTATTATTATTTCTTTGTAGGGTTGATTTGGTTTAGTTCCATGTCGTTGTAAAATTGACGATTATTCGTTGTTGTAATTTTTAGCGCAATTTCCATTCTGGAGAATTGCGTTTATTAACCCGTCATTTCTGGATGTATGAATGAATGGATGGATGGATGGATGGATGGATGTGTGTCCGCAGCTTTAAGTCGCATCTCCTCCTCAACGAAGCAATATCGATGACTAGTTCCAAAAGCAATTATGTTAAGCAAGTTACGAGGATGAACATAGGCTATAAAAATTCCGGGTTTCTTTCATGGATTTCCCGGAAAAGCCAAAAAACCTCGAAAAAAAGCAGTTTTTTGCCCATATCTCGGCAACCAGACCACTTAGCGACTTGAAACATGTACCAATCGATTCTTGCCATAATTTAGAACAATATTGCCGAAGAAAGTTTTCAAAAATATCCTTTCGTTCGGTCACAAAAATTTTTTTGAATTAATTAAAATTTGGACCGAATTAGTAGGCATTTTTTCCAACCACACCACACGCGTCATCACGTTCAATAGCTGCACCATCACGTTCTATGGCTTCGTCATCACGTTCAGTAGCTAGGCGCGCAATGGTTTTTAGTCATGTAACTCTATTGTAAATAAAACATGTAAAATACTGAAATTTTTTTTTAATAAAAAACGTTTTACTAACTAACCAATGGTTTTACTAACCCTGCTCTTGATTTACGCTACGACAGAGCTATTTTTAAATAACATAAGGAAATTGCGCTAAAATTGTCACTAGACTTTTTAATTAACTTGTTTTTTCGTTGATCGTTTTGCGTTATGTAAGTAAGTAAGATGAATATCTGTGTAGGCTAAACTCTGTAAGGGAGGAATCATTGTTTTCATCATGGGAGGAATCATTGTTTTTATCATGGGCGGAATCATTGTTTTCATCAAACCCAATCAGGTTTCACGGATGAGGGGAGCGTGGTGAAGAGTTGGGTCTTATTCAATTATCTAGTGACTGATACCTGGTAATTATAATAATACAACCAATGTTTCTTTCAGGCATCTCCCCACCCCCGAACCACATCTACACCCCACTTTCCCCCCCCCCCCCCCCCACGGGAAAAAAATGAGAATATTTTAAAAGAATATGTACTGTAACCATTGTCTGTTCCCCTCCCCCTCCCACAAATTTATAGTCCCTCCCCCCTCCCCCCACCACTCCGAAGAAAATTATCTGAATGAGACCTTGAACGGGTAAATCCAGCCTAATTAAAATTGTCAATTTTATAATGTATTTCTCGTTTCGATTCTTTCAATTTATTTCATGTAACATTTTTACCAGTACTTGAAATGTAGTTGTTCAAAAACTGACCTAATCGTTTGGTCAAAAACATGTGTGAATACCTGGTCTTTTAGCAATATATAATTTCACTCTAGCTGCATTGTTGGCTTCTTGAAATTCCATGTTTGTTTTTAATACGCAATACGGTAGTTTGTCGAGCTGTATGACGGCAGTGAATACAAATAAAACCATTTTAAGAGAAATTGTGTTAGTGTGTAATTTTTTTATGGTTTTTTTTTTTTTTAGTGTAGGCCTATATGGTTAATACAAACCATTACGGTACAAAACTTTGAAATGTATGAACCAGTGGCGTAGGCAGGGGGGTGTGTGTATATATATATATATATATATATATATATATATATATATATATATATATATATATATATATATATATATAAAGTATGAGGGGGGTGCAAATCGAAAGTTTGAGGGGGGGTGCAGCAAATCGAAAGTTTGAGGGGGGTGCAAATCAAAAGTCTGAGGGGGGGGGGTGCAAATCGAAAGTTTGAGGGGGAGGGGTGCAAATCAAAAGTTTGTCCCCGGGTAAAAATTGGAACCCCCCCTTGAGACGATCCTGGCTACGCCACTGTTATGAACAACTGCAATAATAGCAAATGTCAAGAAACAGCAACAAAATAAACAGTATAGTGAAATAAAGATGAAATGTCAATCGTTTAACTTTTCAATGTGATATTCGTAGATCGTAGAGGATATTAAGATAACATTGAGCTGCAGCCAACTTTTTTTTTATTGCTGTTTCAGACCAATTCGTTCAGTCGCAGCTTCGTTCTCAATGGGCCGGCGTGAACGAATGGTATAGAAATGACAGCTAACACGAAAGTCACGAGTTTTGGTACCTGACTAACACTAGGGAAAGTTAAGGCGGCTGGGCATAGTGCTGACCACACTATCCTTTCATATGCCATTGTCACAGAAACAGGGGAACTTGCCCCATGGAATGATAGATCTCACCGGCTTTGGCATTAAAGAAGTTAAAATCTGGCTACACCAGTAGAACACACGACTCCACACACAAAAAAAAAGCAACTATAAAACAACGAAACAAATTTTCAGATTTAGTGATAGGAGAGTTCTTTATTGATTTCAAACGAAGTTTCACATTTTAATGCATGAGAAAGGTGTCATGAATTTGAAAAATCAATTTCAAACATGAAGTTAACATCGCCAAAACACTAAATATAGATGACTAGTAATTTAATAAAGAAATAATTGATAAATATAATTTTTATTTTACTTAGAACTGGATGTAAATATCTTACTAGCATCTGAAAGATGTTAAATGTTGCTATACATCATTTCAATTCAAAATTTAACAACTGAAAAGCTGGTCACTTAGCTACACTGGTGAAGATGGTAGAATTTTTTTATAGCCCTAACAGTTCAGGTACACCTTGTTTAAATCTTTATTTTTTAGAGTTTGTATAATGTTATTTAATTAATTTTAAATTAAAAATAAATAATTAGATTGTTTAATAAAAGAAATTTTTTTAAAACCATGCGGCTAATTTTCTTCAAAACTGTTTTGCAGCACTGATACCTGAACCACAGGTTCAAGTGTCCATGGGAAATATACTGAAAGCATTTCTATGGGAGATAACTATTTTCTTGACAATTTTTAAACATTGTAAGCCCGTTCTCTAAAGAGAAAATATAAGCATGCACAAAAGGGCAGTGTGTTTTATAAACATTATTTACAACTCTTGTCATAACTTAAAATTGTAACAATTTTCTTTTTTAGTCCACTTTTGAAATGCGATGATGAAGTGTGTTTGTTTTTTTAAATAGATAAAATGCAGTATCATAACATACTTATAAAAACGCTGCTGAAGCAATAACATGTTCTAATTTGGACTAGGGATTTACACAAATTTGAGAATTATTTTTATTTTTCATTTATTAAAAACAAAACAATAGTAACCTTATATTTTTTTTAAACTTTGGTAAACTTCTTTCATGTAATGCTCTCAGTTTAACTGCCTAAAACTGTATAAATAGAAATAATCTAGTACCTTTTCAACAGTAATTTTAACTTTCAAGAAACATATCCATGTAATAATGAAAGAGAAACAAATCTATGCCAAGTTAAATTAGAACAAGAACATAGTAGATATGGAGCAACGTTCAACACATTGAATATAAATAAAGATAGTTACAGAAGAAATTTAATAAGGAAAGTAAATGAAGTCATTGACATAGTAGTTTCATTAATTCATCTTCTGTACCCCCAAGGTATAATTTTAGATTCTTTTACAAATGCTAACATTTCAAAGTTTGTTTATGGTTCTATTCTAACTATACCATAACCTCGGCCAAATGCCTAATTTGACTTTAACCCTAACAAAACTACCAGAAAAAAAGGTTTGATTCAAGACTGTATTACCCTATCATCCTTTTTTTTTCTTAGAGACCATTTGACCTCATAAATCTAACATACTTGAAACAGCAGTACAGTATAAAGGAAAACATATTGGCAAGCAACCTCTGTTATGGAATAAACTTGATATATTTATATACTATCTAAATCAGGACTGTATTAACAATCTAGCTAGACACAAGAGACGAGACTACAGCAATGACACCACAACACAAATTGATATTGTCATAGTTAGAACCATCACCCCTCAACAGCATCCATCACCAGATATATGTGTATGTAACATCAGCCATAGCCAACAAACAGCTGTACCAACAAGCTTCCAGAATTTTACATAGCTCACATCAACAAAAGAACAATCCAAAACGCAGCCATAAACAGCAGTATGACATTTGTACAGCCGTGAACTTAGCTACAACAGCAGTACAAACCAAAACAACCATAGCAGGTTCATTAACATGTTTTAAATTTTTAAGTTCACCTATCCTTTGAGCAACCAAGCCAAAAATATTTAATTATAAACCTCTACAATTTCTTAACTAACAATTTTTTTTAAAAATGGTCTTAAAACAAAACGTCTGTAATTTCTTAATATTAATGCTTTGGAACAACAAAAAAGTTGTAATAACTATCAATCACAGCAGTAGTGAACAGGCTCATGCACACTGACACTAATCAACAGCACTGAGAGAGTCCTCAAACAAGCAGTTACATCAGGAAATGTGTAAAATAATGTTGAAGGTGGGTTAACTTACTTGTAATAACCATTTTCAACAACAAAAAAAACTAAACTTCTTTCAGAAAAGTTAAAACAGTCATAATAATATCAAGAACTACAATAATTCAACTTTAACTATTGAGCTTGCATGGAACATTTGCAGGGTTTCTTGTGTTTTTTAAACTCACAGCCTCTTAGTTCTTAGTAACTATGGCTAACCCAGCCATACAAATTTTACTTTCTCAGCTCACAGCGAAAGAATCCTTACTTTTTTTTTTAATAACATTTTTACCACAAAAATATTAGGAAAAAATTTACTTTTAAACAGGTAATTTAAATTGTATTTAATATGAATAGGGAAAAAGTCTTTTTTTTTTACATATTATTACATTGACAACTTGTGCTTTTTAAGACTTTTTTAATACCAAATAATGAATTAATCGTGTTTTGATTATTAAAACATAAAAATGCAGAAATGTCAAGGTAAAAAATGTATTTAGTATATCAACAGATTAAACATTAACAGACAGAGGCCTAAAATGAAAAAAATTAAAACTAAGACTAATTTTAACCTTTTTCATTCTAACTCAATAGCAATCATTTTACAAAAAAAAAAAGCTTGAACTACAAAGGGTTAAAATATCTGTCATTGACAAACTTAAATAAATTCCATTAACTAACCAATGAGTAATGTAAGTTGTGAAGATTTTCTTTATATGATCCTCATGCAAAACATGGTATAGAAGGATTCAGTTCATTAAAATGAAATCAGTATATTTGGTCAAGAGTTTTTAAACAATCACAAACAATTTACACTTATTTCATTAGACCTTAGAAAAAATTTTGAGCACCGTGACTGCTAGTTAAAATAGCAATTTTTTAAATAAATTTCTTAACTCTTTTTAGTTATCTTTACATACATAATTTTTTTTTAAAAAAGCTTTTTATAATTGAAAACTAAATATAATTTTAAAATAACCTTTTAAATCACACAAGTGAACAAAAATAACCTACATAATAAATCTTATCAGTTGTTTATAACCACTTGCATGCCTAAAAATCTATTTTAAAATACCCTAAAACTTATTTCAATCAAAACTAAACATGGCTATGAAAATGCAGCCTTCAATTTATTTCTTTACTTTTCTTGCTCTAACATTACCATTTTCAGTAGCAGAATTTTGGTCAACTTCAGGAAGGGAATCTAGGTCTTCAGTTGGCAGAGCTGAAAGATGACAAAAAATGTTTTATTTATATTCTATTGAAGTTAAATTCTGACATTATTATTTCTTTGTAACAATCATTATAAGAATTGCTTTTATGTTACTGATACATTGAAAGGATAAGTTAAAAAAAGATGATCTGTATTTTAAATATACAGGATTGTGATGCAAATATTAGAAGTCAAAACTAAAATTAAAATGCTAAAAATGCATTTAAAACAACCACTGAAAACAATTAGTTAAAAAAAAAACACACACACCAAAAAAAATATATAAATACTAAAAATATATTTAAAATTACCACACCCCAAAAAAGGTGACAAAAACTCTTTTTAAAAAAATAATATGCATTCAAAATGAAACACTCAACAAAAAAAAAGTAAAAACCTTTAAAATTTAGAAAACAGAATATCAATGCTACATACGATGGAAGGAACAATTTCTTCACTCACGCTTAGAAGCAGGTTTCTTTTTGCTTGGGGATCGGAGTTTCTTGCTAGCAGGAGATTTTTCACGTAATTTACGCAGATGGAAAGTTATGAAATTCCACATAAGCCCAGCTTGACTTAAACCAATGGCAGCTAAACAGTTGATCCTGTATACATATTTATTTTTATATGTTGAAAAAAGTTTTGTGAAAACAAAGTTTTTTAAGTTAAGTCAATAATAATCCATAATTATTTACCTGACAAGGTAAGTGTTGTAATTTCCAGTCAGAATATCAATACTTGGGTTGTTGGACTGTGCAAGGCCATACCTGTAAATGTGTTAACAGTGTTACTGATGAAAGGAAAAATTGTCATCATCCAACTTTTGGCACAACATTTAAACCTTGACACAAGAAAAGTCCTTCATTAAGTCATTGTGCCTGTTGTGTTGTAGCCAAATAATGTAGCTTATTTTTACTTAGTTCTAATGGAGTGGTTTCTTTAAAACATTGCAGACAAGAATAAGTGGACTCTACTGACATTGCAAGAATTTCTAATTTTCAATCTAATTCGATAATAAATTGGTCATGAAAATTACTTTAAAGATTCCTTTTTTTAAAAACAAAAGTGGAAACTTTAAAGGGACAAATAACATTTGTGTAGTGTCTTTCACAAGATATTTTCAACATAATATATCTCAAACTACTGGTCAGATTTATTGTGACGTGTTGACCTAAGAACTATCTAAGAACTAAAATGCTATTGTTTAATGCAACTATACATTTTTAACCACTTACCAAAAAGTAAGAACAGCAAGGGTAATGGTGCCTAGACGAACCAAAACGAACAGCACATCAAAAACCACGAAGCTGAAAAAATAAATTTTGTGTTTAGGCATGCAATGAAAAAGAATAAAACAAATGTTAAGAAGTGTTATTTCAACAATTTTTTAAAATTCCAATACTCACATCTTTTTGGCAAAATCTACTTTCTCAGAAAAATGACACAGCAAGGCCATATGATAAAGAGATTCTACAGCATAATGCAGAACAAGTGCACACAGAGCAACACGATTGAAACTGTAATTTAGGTAGAATAATTAAAACTAATTAAAAAAAATTCTTCATAAAAAAGTAATTTATTCATAAGTATATGACAAATCGAAAAAGGGTCACTATTACCATAAGTTTTCAATGTTTAAAACAAAATAGTATTTAGTACTAACTTTAGAAAGTATGCAGCACCAATGAAAACAAGATAGATGCTAGTATACTGCAGTCTTCCTGGCATTTCTTCCTATATAAACACATAAAAAATATTAAAAACAAACTATCTACAGTAAAACAATCAGTAACTACTTATAGCCCATCAACCTATGCCGCTCTAGAGGGGAAATAACTCATCAAATAAAAACTTGTTAAATTGGTGTAGTAAGTAAAAAAGAAAATCTAACATCTAAAACAATAAAAATCATGATCTCTCTGCTATCCTGAATATACTTTTGTTATATAATAATTCAAAAACTTCAGCAGTAAACAGTTCACCCCTTACAATTTACACTCACGCAACCCAAGAAAGTTTGTAGTATTGATAAGTCTTCACCAACTTTATCCAGAATAAATAAATATTTTGTAATATTTTAGTTTGAAATACCTTTCTGATTTTTTGAAAATACAGTTCAGGATAGTTATGCACCCAGTAGGCCAGTTGTATGATGAAAAAGAACTTCACAATAAAACTGAAAAAAAAAAATCACTTTGTTTCAATGTTTTAATGCAACTAAATATACAACGCTATTTGTTGATGTAAAAAAAAAAAAGAATAAAATGCTCTTACGGAAGTTGTGTATGGGGATATCCTTCCCATAGCTGATTCACACCAGTAACGTAGTTTTCCTACAAGCACAAAAATTACAAAAATTAATCAAACAGAAGCCATCTACTATACCACACTATAAAAAAGGCATATTCTAATTCTACCTTTTTTAATCCTACTAAGCGATGAAATTAATCTAACAAATAAATACAAACAAAAGTAATTTATCAACCCAAACAGTTGCCACTTTGATGCAAATCAATGTTTATTATTTCTAAGAATGAGATCACACTTAAACCTACCCTGAAAAGGATATCAGCACCCCAGGCAGCAGATACAAGAAAAAATATTAGCAGCTGACCAGATTCATTGAACTTGCTGTGCTTGATCTTAGACAAGTGCATCTTGCGGTTCAGTTTCTGTTCATAAATATTTAGGTACATATAAATGGTACTCAATATTTTTATAATAAATAGTGTACATTAAAAAAAAAATATAGATCTATTATGTATTTGAATGTACACATTTTAAAATGTCCATGTTGGACTTATTTTTTACTTCATTGAATTAATTTTTACTTATTAATGCCATGCATATTTATACATGTAGCATCAATGTGTAAGTGGAATAGTTGGTGAATTACTTTATCAATTGTTATTCTTTTACAATGTGAATAAATTTTTCAGAAATTAAATGGTAGAATAAAGCTTGTTTTATAACAAGTGAATAACTGCAAGCTACTTACATCAAGAACATACTCCTGAAGAACAGCATGGACCACAACGCAGATGAGGAAATAGAAAAACACTGTAAACAAGTCCCTGCTGCCAGTTGTGTATACAGTATGTTCTACATTTGCAGAATCTAAAAAATATTTAAGATAGATTATACTAAAATACATGCTCATATACACTTTTGCAACATCAATTTTACCAAATTAAATTTTACAAAAAGAAAAAAAAATGTTAACAACCAACAGGGAATGATAAAATTGAAATACAATATTATGGTTAAAAACGTACCATTTAAAGTCAGATTATGCTGCAATGTGATGAACAAACTCGCAACTGGTGATGTGGCCTGAGTATTGAAAAAAAATATATATATATAATATTTTACATATTTTCCATTTTCATAAAGTATATTGGCTGCTTTAGCCACTATGAGGTGATTTCAAATTGCTGAGTTTTTAAAACTGAATCAGCTGCAATTTTAGGTGTTGTACATTAATTATAAGTATTTTGAATTGGAAATACAGCTATATTAAAATTTATTGCGGAGCTAGTTACGATAGGCCTAGGCTATTGAATATTTATATATTTTTCTAGCCAGTAATCCTGTAGGGGATTGAATCAATTATTAATATGATTCTGTCAATAGGGTTGTTGATATGCTTAAAATTTTCTGTAAGCTTCCTGTAGTGCCAGAGAAATCTAGGTTGAATGAATCATGTGGTTTTAATAGAAAATATAATATTTAATGTTAGGCCTAGATCAGATTAAAATATGTTATAATAGTTAGGCCAGACAGAATTTAGTTAGGCTACAAAAAGAAAAAAAAAATAGATGAGTTCAATCAGGTTAAATGTTCATAGAATCATAGTTCATGAAAATTGAAGATGATTAATAAATAAATTCATATTCAGCAGATGTAGGCTTACTGACTACTACTCTATTAGAGCTACTACTACTATGGATGTACCCAGCAGAAAAAATATAGATCTAGATATTCTAGATTCGAAGTGTCTTTTCTGGAAGAATAAGCATTTGTGACTGTTTTTGATACATTTAATGTTAAAAACGCCCATAAATGCATGAAACTGTGTGGTCCAGTGGGAATAAGTCATTAGTCGACTGGGAATAGCCACTATGTGGCTGTTGCTACCGGCTGGGAATAGCCTAAAACTCCATTTTAGCTTATTTTATTCGCCACTTCACGTTCTCCCCCAGTTAAGCATATTTTATTATAAACACAAACGAAACACAAAAAAACATTTAGAAAACACTTAATTTTTTTTATGAATGTGTGTTTTTATTAGTATTAGAAAAGATTAAAAAAACATTATAAATGAGCATTAGGCCTACAGTTCTAATTAAATAGTGTGTGATTGTTTGGCGGGAGAAAAATCCATACCAGGCCAAGGGTTCACCGTGCATTCACATTGACTTGGGAAATTGCTATTTGAAATTGTGGTGGCCTGTTTTACAGTCATTGTGAGTTCATATAGTAGTTTTTCTCACTAAATCTAGAATTTACGCAATTATCAATTTAAACATGACCACTGAATAATAGACATCCATATTTAATCCATTAGGCACTAACTTTGGAGTTTTTAGTTCGTTTTAAACTAAATTAGTTAATTTAATATTTATTGTCAATCACTGCCATGTCCAACACATCTCTCCATGACAACTCTTCTTAAGCTTGAAGGTAAAGAAAACCACAAATCAGGTTAGACTTTTTAAGTCGCCATGCACAAGAGTTCCTCACTAGTGATCACCAAATAGCGGTCACATGGATTTTTAAAAAATAAAAATAAATTGGTTGTGATACGGACGCCGGTCTTATAAAAAAACAGCTCACAATATTTGATTTCTTTTTTCATAGACTGATAAAGCTAATAATGCTTTACATTCTCGCTCATTTCTGTACTTACACTGTTGATATTTTTTAAATTCTATTAATTTTAATGAAACCAACTTTTGAATTTAGCCTCCGTTCTCCAAACCAAATTTTAAAATGCTTTTCTGGCATATCTAACCCTGCCACTTATGGTTTGTTGTTATGACACGGAAATCCCGCCATTTTGCGCGTGGTAAACATTTTTAAATGTAATTAGTTGAAGGTCTCTGGAATTTGGCCGAAAAATCGCCGGAAATCAAACGTCCGGTCCGGGCGCCATATTGTTGTTAGCAACCGACCACGCCTCCAAGTTATTTATAGTATCATGAATTATCATGTGTGCGAGATACTTTTAACAATACAAACTTAACTGCATAGCAATTATGAGTTTCCTAATTCACCATGAAAATCTTAACTGAAAGTTGACACGAACATATTTTCAAAAAAAAAGCTAAATCTAGATCTAAATTAGTAAATAGTAAATAGTGCACATTCAATATTCCAAATGTTTTTGTGAGCTTCGGTTGTGTTTATAATAAAATATGCTCAACTGGAGGTGAATGTGATGTGGCGAATCAAGAACGCTAAAAATGGAGTTTTACCGCCTGGGCCTTCTAGATTTAGATTCTAGAATCTAGATCTAAATCTAGAGATCTAGAAAATCTAGTCTAGATTCTACTAAATTAAATTGGGCAAAATGGAAAAAAATCAAAGAAGATTTTAAATCTTTAACTTTATCATTTCATTGTGATTGTTTTTTTTTTTTTTAACTCAAACACTGGAGTGACTGAGTCTGGAGTGGAGGATAAAATTTATAATTTATATTACAAATTTACCTGAAACATAAGGCCAATAATAAAAACCATAGCAATACATGACACAATGTCTGCATGATTTTGTATGAAAAATTCATGACTGAAGATAGGAGGATTCTTTGAGCTTTTTGACCGTCTGGGTGCCATTCTGAAAATTCACAGATGCCGTAAGCCTGCAATATTTTCACGCTGATGTGGACAGATTGTGAAATCAAGTTAACTGTAAACTTTTACCTGTGAATTTTTTTCAAAACCGTAAACAGTAAAGAATTATCATTTTATGTAATTTGTAAAGTTATTACGTTACTTAGAAATATTACATGTTTAGATTAAATGTTTAATGAAATAGTTTCTTTTTTATTATGGCGGATTATGTTTTTTTACAATTAAAACTTTACCACGTCCGAAGGAGCAAGGTTGTTTGATTTTATTTAGCCGGCTTAGATGAAAAGGGGGGGGGGGAGGAGGATGATAAAAAAATAAGTCATCTAATAAACATGGAGACTTTAACTTTCAAAAAGCTTAAGACTAATTTTTTTTTTTTAAAACATTAATATATTTTTTTTATATTGACTATACGTTTTGACAGTATAGTTAAGGATTTCAGCATCCTTCATATCAATATCATATTAAAAAAAATTCATAAAAAACGTTTTAATAACAAGCTTTTATGTAATGATGCACTAAAAAGTAGAAAATAAATTATAGACTACTATTTAAATAACTATAAAGAAAAGCGTGGGTCACTTTAGTATCTATTGGATACCTTTACTAATGTTAAGGAAGACACCCACGCTTTTCTTTATAGTTATTTAAATAGTAGTCTATAATTTATTTTCTACTTTTTAGTGCATCATTACATAAAAGCTTGTTATTAAAACGTTTTTTATGAATTTTTTTTTCAGTACTTTACATGTTTTATCTACAATAGAGTTACATGACTAAAAACCATTGCGCGCCTACTGAATATCACGTTCAGTAGGCGCGCAATGGTTTTTGAACGCAGCCATTACGTGGTCGTGATGGCGCAGCTATTGATGACGCGTGTGGTGTGGTTGGCTAGACATGCCTACTAATTCGGTCCAAATTTTAATTAATTCATAAAAAATCAATTAGGCATCCAATTAAGTCAAATTTAGTTTCAGATTGCATTGTCTTCATGTCTTGACCCACGTGCCAAATGTGAATCGTATCGGTCAAGTAGAACTGTCCGAATTTTCACTCCTTCGTTTCCGTCTAGACTGACGACTGACGACTTACGACAGAGGAAGTGAGTTAAATAAAAGCTTGTAAAAAGCGAAGACGTTTCTATTGATTTGCACACAAAATTTCTATTTATTCGATTGTATCCCTTTAATCGTAGATTATAGTAATGGGATTCGGGGAAAAATATCAATCTACCATTTGATGATCACAGATGGAAGTTGGGATAGGCGTCCAAAACCTTCGTCGTCATGCAAACTATCATTAATCCTCTGGAAGAGATTGGTTGATGGGGTGGGGGCTAAAGAGGCTGGATTGTCAAGGCTAGGGTGAAAGAAAATCTACCAGTTTCTATGACGAAGTGTGCAGAGTTTCTTCCAGGCATCTCTTCGCCCCCCCCCCCCCCCCCCCCCCGAAAAATTCTCCCCCCCCCCCCCCCCGAACGAAATGAAATTCATATAACTTATATAGAAAATATATACTTTTAACAGTGTCCGCCCCCCCCCCCCCCCGAAGAAAGTCTACCGCACCCCCCCCCCCCGAAAATTTCAAGTGCCCCCCCCCCCCCGGAGAAAAAAGTCTGGAAGAAACACTGGAAGTGTGGCCCAAGCCAAGGCAGGCTCTTTTTTCCCGACAAAAAGCTTCCGTCATTTAGGCTCCCGACAAAAGGGTCCCTCTCCATCGGGTTTCCGTAAAGACCAACTCTCCAGGTGAAATGGCCTCATTGAATATGACACCTGCCAGTGGGACCCATTCAACAATCTCTTTAGAGTTAGCTTAGCCAACATCCTTAAATAATACAACGTATGCACCTTTTGTTCGGCAGGCCTTATTATATACTGTTTTATGTAATATAAGAAATAGCAGGTTTTAAATGTGAGCCCATTCGTCAGGAGCTCAAATGTCGGGCGCTCATTTGTCTGGAGCCTATATGTCGCGAGTCAATATGACAGGAGCCCATATGACGTGAGCCAATAAGTCGGGGTCCTTTTGACGGACCTATTTTGACTGCGCCGTTTTGTTGGATGATTATTTGTCGGGGTCATATTAACGGTACTTTTTTTTTTTTTGACATGCCGCTTTGACGATGCACCTTCAAAAACTATTCCACTCAATGAAAGTTAATGAAAGTGAACAGAGACGTTCCCGGAAGCAGAAATTATTGCTAATGGAGTGTCCAGAGTTTCTCCCAGGCATCCCCACGAAGAAAGCCTACCCCCCCCCCCCCCTCCCCGAACGATATGGAACTTGCATAGAAAACATACTTTTACCAGTGTCCGCGCCCCCTCCCCCCACCCCCGGAAAAATGTAGTCTAGAGTCTAGACGTCATTTTTTTTAGAAACTACCACTATCCGTTTTATAATTATTATACGCAATAGGTCTAATCAAGGAGCCTGATTATATTGAAATATATATATAGATCTAATAATAGTTAGCCTATTCGTTTTACCAAAATATAACTTAAGTAATATAACAGTTTACAAATAAAGCATTCCAGACTAGAATCTTACTACACTAGATTATATCTATTACTAGGCTATTGATCTAGATCTAGAGTAGAGAGATGAACAGTAGCAGTAACCTCCCAGCTGCATTATTTTAAACAAAAATTAAAAGGGACAAAAATGTTGTAGGGTTCATAGGTCATGACCTACGTGGATGCATTGCCTGATTGGCTTACAAATATAAATGGGCGGAGCATGTGCTCGGCTTACTGTGCCTGCTTTGGAAAAATACATAGGGATTGCGAACTCAAGGCCCTGGCATTGAGCAGTGCTGCAAAGCATACAAGGCTATTATAAAAGTTCATCCTGAGTATTTAAAGATGGATGGCTAGTCAGAATCTAAATATTATAAGTATGATGATATTGAAATGTAGATCTATATTCATTAATACTTATTACATTATTAGACATAGCAGTACAATGAATGGGAACGTAGACGGTAGATCTCTAGGTCTAGAGCGAGGTATTAACCTCAATATTCTAGGCTACACCAAGTGTTGCCAGTTGGGTTCAAGTTAGTGACTGAGACTTTCATGAAATAAAGAAAGAGGAGCATGGTTCTTTACAAAAATAATAATACTTTAAAATAATTTCTATCATCTAGATTCTAGTAAATTTCCACTAGATGTATTATTGTTATATGTTGCAGGTGCTTACCAGATAATCAATATTTAAATCGTATTAAAATTATAGGCCAATTTTTAAAGTTCTGGTTAAAAAAAAAAAATTTTTAATTTTTATATATTATATAGATTCTAGATCCAGAATCTAGATCTATTAAAAAGTATTAATCATAGTAGATCTAGTAGTTAGATTCCTGAGATAGATTAGATCCATCATAATGATCCATCTCTCTAGAACGGAGATCGAATAAAATGAATATTCACATTGTCTACATTCAGGTCTAGTTAGAAATGTAATACCCAAGACAACTAGTTATAATATTGCCTAATAAAAGTACTAATAAATTGTTGTATTGTAATATTTATACTAATAATACTGTTAAATGAAAAATTGCAAGAGAAGTTAGAGATGTTGATATTATAATTTTTATACATGCTCATGGTAAACTTGGAGAGCGAAGAGTTTAATAAAACAATCATCATAGTCCGACTTATTTGCTGTGGTAACAATTATTTATCTGATTGATTTACATACTGAACTTTCTTTATTCATACCTTTTGTAAATGATAAACTACAGTATCTTAAGGCTGATGATTCCCTAATTAAAATGGCATATTTCTAGTTTAAAACTTTCTCAAGCTTACAAGATTTGCCAAAAAATATGACTCTACTGTTGGCTTGATGATCGAAAATTAAGATAGTATGTAGACTAAACTCTTATTGTTATTGCCTATCGGCCTTTCCATTTTACAAAGTAGAAATTGAGCAATAGGCCCTAAATTAGTTTACAGCAGAAAACATCTTTACTACATTAGCATTTTAATATTGTCTTATGTAACCTTCTTAAGGGGTGGTCCATAAATGAAGTCACACTTATATATTGCATTAAGTCACTTTCTAAAGTAGTGCTTTTAACCACTGAATGATTGTATCAGTAGAGGCAACTTAGAGGATATTTCCATTGTCAATGTCTTTAAAAATTATGAAAATAGATAAACGTTTGTTCCAGAAAATACTACACTAACTAAAGGGATGTTGTTAATCATACATCTGTTCTGATACATAGAAATTGCTAAAAATGGTCTATGGTTTATATAGAGGCCAATACAAATGGTTATTTTACAACTTTTTTTTGTGTTAGTTTCAATAAAGTATTACTCTTATTATATTGACATGGACAGATGTAGGGGCTATTGATTATCTCTGCCAACACAAGGACCCCTTGTAAATGCTCCTGGCACTTGCGTCATTGCTAAATATGTTTTATGTATTTGTTAGCTAAACATTTCCTTGAGTAAACTAAATTGCTTCGTAATAATTGTAGACCTAAGTCTACAAAGTAGACCACATAATTATAGATTTTAAAGGTAGTTTGATTTTAAAAAGAAAACTGCCCCCATTTAAAAATGCTGTTGCCAGTATTGTATTGTATGGTATTTTACAGCCTTTAAAGTGTAAAACACAATGTTGCAATATTTTGCTGCAGGGTTTTTTTTTAGAATTATCCATTAGGCCTAATAATTTTTATACCTAACTACTGTAAATTATATTAGACAACGCTAAAGAAGGCAGTCAAAGGTTTATACATGTATATATATGTATATAAAAATATTCTAGGTATATTTTGAGTAATTCTATAACTATATAATAATGCTATTTACACAATTATTTTTAATTAAAATCACTACATTCATACTATTTGTTTAAAATTGGCTATTTATAAATCTTCCTGTAAAAGCAGAACCTAAACACTACTAAACAGACAGTAGACATAGCTTTAAGTCATGTAAGATAACATAAATGCTGTCTAATGACCTGGGTCTACACAGATTGTTTTAAATCCCCAAGAATCTATTGGCTTGGTTTTGTTTAGTACAGTCCAGATGTTTAGTTGTTTATTATTAAATTATTTAATTAGGCCTACAATTTAGTTGAATTTTTCATTAGCTAGTTTTAGTCACATTATTAGTTGATTAGTGCTTATGAAATTCTACTGGTAATTTTAAAATAGAAGGCCTAATTAATAATTATTACTACACTATCTTTGTGTAGAAATTCCAAATCAGTCCTAATGCAATGTGCTTTATGTTCAGTTACACATTTTTATTGGTGAACATTTTTTTCCAAAGGGGCAAGGGCAAGTTAGTATAAAGTATAGTATTTGTCACTATTTGTTGATTTAAGATTTTAATTTAGGCACTTGTTTGTGTGTAAGTCAGAAATTTTTTTTCATAAGCAAAGCCTTCTTACACTTAATATACTATTGATTATTTGTAATACATTTTCAAACTAGTCAGTTCAGAAAAACAAATTTGCTCCTAGATCTAGATTTTATTGGACCCCTGTGATCAGTTGCACAATTAGTATTAGTATTAGAGGTCAACTCAGTATAACATTCTACTAGGCCTGTACAATTAGTAAGCTACTGATACTATACAACTGTTTATAGTCAGTGGCTAGGTATTATTAGAACAAAAAAAGCCATTCATTTCGTTGGATGCTGTAAAATGTTAAAGTTTGATTATGTTCATACTGTTACCTAAAGAAATTAAATACATTTTAATTTAAAATAATATACATTACCAAACAAGCTTAATACATTTAGTGTATGTAAGAAAATGGGTTACCTTATTAATTTGATTAGGCCTATGCATTTAAAAAAAAAAATTCTGATTTTCCAATTTTATTGCAGCTAGAAAAATGCAACGAAGATCTGATGGTAGTTTGAAAAAGAAACCTAGAGGAGGTAAATGTGTACCTGGTTGTATTTCTGTTCTGTTTTGTAAAACACAAACTCAATGAAGTAACTTCTTATAGTCTTATGGGACTCTCGAAAAGTAAGATGTTTTTCTTCACAGGTAATGGAAGGTTTAGAAAAGTGTCTTCAGAAGGTAAGCGACACTTGAAGTTTCAGAATTCTGCTGTAGCTTAAAATACAGAGTAATCCAAAATTTGTAGCGATGATCCTGTGTAAAATATTTTGTGGTTTTATAGTTTACTTAAGGAATGTTAACTAGTCAGTTGAATGTGCTTATATAAATAACTCAAACTATATATAAACACACTTTAATACATCCCATAATGCCTAAAACCATCTGAAAGGTGATTATTTTGTTAATCGTGCAATGATGGTTACCAAAACATAAATGTTTTAACTAAGACTTTGATACTTAATTTATACTGATTATTTATGGGTTACTTTTAAAAGGTTGAACTTGTATGTTTCTTCTCTTGCTGTTTGTTTTGTGTTAAGTTTTTCCTCATACATCTAACCTTAATCGTAGAGTATTTATTCTACATTAACTCTTTAATGTGGTAAATTTATAGATCTGAATTATATTAAGGCAACTTTTTGGTTATCTTAATTTTTTTAATGATTACCCTATCAAATATTCTCGGTAATTTAATGTTTGTTTTGACATTTTTAAAAGATAGATTCAAATTCCTTAATGCACAAATCAAAATAATTTTTAAAAACAAATTATGGAATATCTTTTTTTCCAACAATACACTTCAAATGATGATAAATTAACTACTGAAGTAAGCTATGATAAATTAACTACTCAAGAAGGCTAGTAAATTAGGATATTAATTTTGTCGATTTTCTTCAGATGTACCTGAGCATAACAAACCTGAAACAGAGGCAGCAACGCCTCCACCAAAAATGGTTAAGCTCTCAGCAGACAGTGTGAATGCCAGCGGTGGTCCAGTTGAACCAATGGTATCTGTCAAGACAAGTGCAACCCCGCCCACCAAAGGCATACGCACACGTCTCTCCACTGGAACACTCATCATGACAGGAACATCCACTGTTTCCTTAGCATCACAGGAATATTCAACCCCCACATCATTTGATACTGGAGGGGCTTCTCGCAAAAACTTGAAAGGCAAGTGTTACAATCATTTTTTGTTTAAATTTGTTTTAATTTTCATCAAGCTAATAGAAATGTTCTAGTTTCATATTAACCATTTTATTGTAACCTATAAAATATACACATTTTCAACATTCTAAATATTGATATTTTTTTTCTAAAATCTGTTAATTATCAGTCTATTTCATTGACGATACATCTTAAGTACTCTTATTATTAAACATGTAGGTAAAAAGGATCCTACTAGTTTCATTACAGTCTGCATGTTAATATTACCCACTGGTTAAAGTGAACAATCATTTAATCTCTGTGCAATATTAAAATTCATTATTTCAAAATACATTTAGGTGGATAACTTATGCTAACCATTCAAGGCTAATCAAATTGTTTATTATAGATGCTATGCCTGGTTCATCAAGAAAACGAAAAGGCCAAGATGATGAAGATTCAAGCGGAGAACCAGACACACCTCCCAAACGTAGAAAAATTGGTCGAAATGATGGAACTGGAGAGGTATATTGATGTCATTTAAAAGAATGTTTAAAAAGAATTTAGAATGCCTATTACCAGCATAGAATGGTGGAGCACACACATAACCAACTTGTTAGGTTAGTTTCTGAGCTTGAGACTGAAGGATGCTACTGAGACTACCGAGCTGTAATGAGTAGCTAAGGAGTTAAAAATGTAGGCTTTAAGGCATAAAGCTGACCACACTATTGCTTCAAATGCCAGGGAAAAGAAACATTAAATCTACTTCACCTGCCATTTGGGCCATTAGACCTGAAAGGATGCTCTATTTTACAAGTGAAAATAAAAAAAATTGTCTTATTTTTTCAGGATAATAAGAATGATTATTTTTGCTGGATTTGCCACAAAGAAGGTTTAGTGATATGCTGTGAGCTTTGCCCTCGTGTCTACCACTCTAAATGCCTTAGCTGTGAAAGCAATGTCCCCGACGACTGGGTGTGCCCAGAATGTGAGGTAATTAGAACTAAAACAAAACATTTAACCATTAATCAAATTAATGACCCGTATCGTCCACTGTCACCAGAGTTTCTTCCAGGCATCTCTTTGGGGGGGGGGCTTTATGGCGCCCCCCCCCCCCCGCGCCCCCCCCCGAACAAAATGAAATTTTTATATAGAAAATATATACTTTTAACAGTGTCGTGACCCTACACACCCCCCCCCCCCCCCCCGATAAAAGTCTTGAAGAAACACTGACTGTCACCTGCAATCCATGCATCCCCCTTGCTCCCGCTGTCAATATAAGTGGTTTAAATAATTGATTGCAAGATTCTACACAGAGTAGGCTTAGGCAAATTTATAAAAGCTCGTAAAAAAAAAAGCTCGTTAATAAATTTTATTTGTATACTTCTGTAAGGAGACAATATCCTTAATCTGTAGGTACAATGTTCATTGTAGAGCTTCACTTCACACTTATTCTTTTATGTCCCCTGAGGAGCAAAGGACTGCAGCCACACCTCTCCATCAGACTCAGTTTTGAGCAGCTCTCTTTATTAGTGCCTATGTAAGCCTAGTAACACTTGTCTCATCTTATACTGTCCCCCCTCCAGGATTTACTTGACTGACCTACTTTTCTCTTCCCCTCCAAGGTTTCAGTCTAAGGCTTGTTCATTTATAAGCTACATCAAAAAAATTGTACACAAAGAAGTAGCTGTAATTATTGTTTTTATTGTAGAAAATAATGAAAGCTGAGTGTACAGACACAAGATCTAAATCAATGGCAATGATCACACTGGACACACTGTGTACACTGTTGAAATATGCACTGGATCGTATGCGAACAGTTGGGGTATGTACCTTTAAAATTATTTGCATACCAATTTGCCGATTTATAGAAATTTAAAATGTATTGTCTTGGGGTTTTTATTCATTCTCACCTAATTCAGGAATGTTTTTTGGTTTACTTTTATGTTATTGTTTACTTTTTTTTTAAAGAGTAACTAATAGCCTTTGTACTTTCTACTAATTTACAAATTAAAATTGTTCTTCTCTTTGTGGTCAGACCACAATATAAATGTTACAATAGTGTTCAATCATAAACTTCTGCATATATTTGTTGTAGTATATATTAACATATAAATATTCTGTTGTTCCAGGCATCAACATTTGAAAACCCTGTAGATCCACTACAGTTTCCTAATTATTCCGATTATGTTTTTTACCCTATGAGTCTGTCTCTCTTAGAGAAGGTAACAATTCAACCTTAAGTGTCTTATTTTAAAAGTCTTTATCGTTAACTCTATAATTTAACCTTAAAATATTTTTAAAACAATGAACACTTTTGACACATTAACTTTTAAAATTATTTTCATGGGACAAGGCATTTATTTAACATAAATCTATTTTAATTTAAATTACAGAATGTTAGACGAAAAATGTATGGATGTACCGAAGCTTTTTTTGCAGATGCTAAATGGATTTATCATAACTCAGCAGTTTATAATGGAAGTAAGGTTTTGATATTTTGGTACTTTGATTTTGAGTGTTATTTAGTAAAAGTGAATATTTAAAATGTAATCTCAGATGTATATGGGCTATAATATTAACCCTTTGAGCCCGCCAGGCCGGTAAACCGGCTTCAACATTAGGCATATATGTCCGAAAAGCCGGTTTTCCGGCCCGATGATCTAGCGTCATATTCCTAGCGGCCGGTATATCGTCTAATTAATTATAATTAGCGGAAGACTGACTAAAACTGCGCATATGTCTTTTGAGTGCGGGATTATGATTTTAAAAATTGATTTTTAGGAAAAATGAAAGTGTTTACATTTCGTAGCAATGCCGCCGAAACGAAAAGCTGAGCTACAGCCGTCGACTTCAGTACATAAAGTTGGTGCAAAAGATGAAGCAAAAGACCGAAATATCAACAAAAGAAGTAGAATGACTGCATCTTAGGCAATACAACTATTTATTGATTCTGATGAAGAATATAATATTCCTGGTCTATATTGTGATGATAGTGACGTTGAATTTGAGACTGAACACAGTGACATTGAAATTGACAGTGACAATGAAACTGTTCAAGTACGCTCTGATGCACGTGGTGTCAAGGACAAAGACTTGCCGAAACGAAAAAAAAATGTTCTGGTGCAAAACATGCGAATTTTTTCTTTGCATCGGGTCCGGCAGTGATAACTGTTTTGAAAGTTATCACACAAAAGTGGACTTTGGGCGTTGAACTAGTATGGCCAGGTATCAATAATAACAAAACAATTACTAAATGTAAATTTGTTTCTTCTATGTTCTATCAAAACAATAATTATGTGTTCGTTTTATATACATTGTTCTGTTCAAACATTGTAAAAAAAAAGTAATTTCAGAATCTTGCTGCATTGTTGTTTGATTCTGAGTCTGGATACCAAATTTGGCTTGATTATCTCAAACGGTTCAAAAGTTATAGGCAAAGTTAGAAGCAGATAAGTGAAAATCGGTTTGGGCCTGGGAGCTCAGGAAATAGGAGAAATTAGGCCAGGGAGGCCAGGGCTCAAAGGGTTAATTTTATATAACTCATTTACAAAATATTAAAACATGTTAAAAACACCTTTAAAAAATTTTAAATTTTGTTTTTATTCAAAAGGTACAAATAAAATAACATCTGCTGCCAAGTCTCTGATGAAAGTCTGCAAGCATGAGGTAATAAGCTGATTTTAATTAATTTCTCTAAGAAGTTTTGTCAGGACATAATTCTAACATACTAAACAGCTTTTTATGGTTTATTTTTCTTCAAAACAGACAAAAGTTATAAAAAATACATCTTATTTATGTTATAGATTTCATGTTTCAGAAATTAGTTTGGCCTATTGTTTGTTTTCTTTTGACAACTAAAAATAAGTAGTTTACTTTTCAAACATGGCAGTTTATTGGTCAATTGAAGTAGAGTTCACCTGTTTCTGTGACCTCAGCATATGAAGGGATAGCATGGTCGGCACTATGAGTTAGGTACCTATCAGAGCTGGGTAGACTCAGGGAAGTTGTCCTGACTTGAGCCCAGATTTGAACTCTAGACTTTTGGGGTAGCAGTTTAACGATCTACTGCTAGGCCACGGCGTCTCATTTTGATGGCTAAGAAATCTTTTAAAAAGCTTTCTGTATTGTTTTGAAATGCCTTAACCTTTTTCAACTCAGCTTATCATTAGTATAAAATGAGTTTTTCTTTCTATTTTAATACCACATTCCTTCATTTAGATGACTGAAATTGAAGTTTGCCCAGATTGCTATTACCATTCCTGTGTGCAGAACAACAGTGACTGGTTTTGTGAACCTTGTGTAAGTCTAAAGCAATTTTTTATAGTTGCACCTTTTAGTGACTATAAAAATATAAATGAACAAATTTTCACCAAAAATTAATGGTCTATTTATATTTCATGTAGAGAACACCGCATCCTCTTGTTTGGGCTAAACTTAAAGGGTATCCCTTTTGGCCTGCAAAGGTAGACTTGTTTTGTTGTGTGAAATACTGTAAGATTTACTATTTACTAGCTATATTGTGTGCAAGGTGATTTTCTTGTTTAGTTTTATTTACCGTGTTTAAAATACATTTTATATTTTCATTGTTTGTACTTTTTTACACTTAGCTTAATGTGTAATTAATGATGTAAAATTTCTAAATAGATTTTCTATACATTATAAATTACAGGCTTTGAGGGAAGTTAATGGCCAAATCGATGTTAGATTTTTTGGGGCCCATGACAGGTTTGTTCAGTTTCTTCAATTTAAATTTGATGTTTAAACATTTTTCTTAATTTTTTTTCAGTTCATTTATTTATTCTGCAATGGCTTTGTGATTTTGTATTAATCATATAGAGAACACATTGCTTTTGTGATTAAATATTTATTTTATGCAGACTGTATTAACTTGGTTAATATTTATGTTAATCTTTAATACCCTATAAACTGAGGTTTTGATAATATATGAATCTCATAAAGATTGATTGGCTTACATCTGACAGGTCATGGGTGCCTGTAGCCTCGTGTTTTATGCTAAGTAAAAATTGCCCTGTGGTTGTAAAGAAAGGCCGAGGTGGAATGGACCTGGCAATGAAGGAGGTTTCAATCCATGTCAAGAAGCTAAAGTAAGCATTATCAACTCATGATTTTGCAAAGATAACTTCTCTGTGTCTAAATTATTGTTGGGGGGGGGGGGGGGGGATGGTAACGAATGTTTTTAACTAACCGAAAATGTTTGCTAATGTATGACTCATTTACCACAAGACATCACTATCTGCTTATTTTTTTATTCAAGTCGTTACTCCAACCCTCTTCATTCGCCCTGTACCTCTCAAAAATTTAGATGCGCCAACTCAGGAATTTTTGCTTAGGTAGTTCATTAAATGATGTGGCCAGCTTATGTACTGAGTTTATGGTTACATCTTACTCTTCAGGGAAAAGTTTGGCTCATTTGAATATGCTCCCCTGCGTACACCATTCAGCATTGACAATGTGTACGAGAACATGAAAAATATCAACTCTGACACATCACTGCAGAGAAGTGAAAGCTATCTTGGCAGGAAAGATGTCAAGCTAAAAGTGGCAGTGCGGAGAAAGGTTTGTTTATTGTGGTTAATTATTTCTGATTAATGGTCAATTTACTTTTTATTCTGAGTATTTATTATATCGATAAAAATTAATCAGTAATTGGGAAAGTATTTTTAAATATGTAGAAAAATATATGGTTGAAAAAAAATTAGATATAAAGGGCATTAAAATACATAAATTAAAAAAAAAACAGTAATCCAATCCTACATAATGTATTTCCATACAAAACCTAGTCAAGATGAAGAATATTGTCTTCACTCTACAGTAAAAAAAAATCAAATTATTTTAAATAAGATACCGGTAGATATCGGATGACTAAGTCCATCCTTCTAAATTACTCTAATTTCCAGAATTGTATTGTTACTTTATTAAAAAAAACAAATATTTCAAATCATTTGAATTTTATGTTATTTGGTGTCCAACTTCCTTTATAAAATTTATTTTTAGTGCACATTTACTGTTTTATTTTTTAAACAGATCAAAGATGGAACAGCTGCCAGCAAGACCGCCAGAGCTGTCAAGTCAAAGTACGGAACTATTTCCTCCAAGAAAGGAGCACAGCAGCATGGCTCAGTTGTTGGTAAAGCAGGCTCTACTGGACCAGTGCAGCGTCAGGTATTTACAGAAAATGGTATTTTTGACCAGAATTAGTTAAAAAAAAAAAAAAAGCAGTGTGTTGGTAACTTGTTTTGTTGCAACAAATATTACAGGAATTAGTGATTGCTGAAGAAAACTGAATTAAAGTAACAAGCTAAACCTGCTAACATGTATTGAAGCTATTTTGTTGCTATTATTTCTAAACTGGCTTTTATTGACATAAAATCCCAGCTGAATCAAAATTTCAGTTTAAGACTGCATTGTTCTGCCTTGAATTTACTATAGGACAAATAGACTTTTTTTTATTCTCTGTTGTAATCAGTGTTTCTTCCAGACTTTTTTCTCGGGGGGGGGGGGGGGGCGGACACTGTTAAAAGTATATATTTTCTATATAAATTATATAAATTTCATTTCGTTCGGGGGGGGGGGCGGTAAAAATTTTTCGGGGGGGGGGCTTAAGAGATGCCTGGAAGAAACTCTGGTTGTAATAAAGGTTTAATGTTAACAAAAAAAATGTGTTGGTTTTTTTTTTCAGTTAGACAGAATGTACTGTTTAAACCAAATAATTCTTTGTTTCCTGTAGGTGTTTTACCTGAGACCAATGCCTAAAGGTGTATTTTTATTGAGTCAGCCACCCTCGGAGTCTGTGCCTTCAACTTCAAAAGGAAATGGAACAAATCCTAATCTGCCAGGTACTCCAAAAGCTGTTGTGCTTTTTTTTTTAAATTTAAAAATATGTTAATTTAAAATTTGAAAACTTGTTAAATTTCTGCTACATTTTTTTTTTATTATCTTAGACCGTCTTGTGTGGAAGGTACTTATGTATATAATGTATATTTATGTGTATTTAGTTACATTCCTCATTAAATTACATTACTGAAACTTAGTTAAGAACTATAGGTAATTTGGAATAAACATGAATCTCTGTATATACTATTAAGGAATTATCTTATTCACTAAAAATATTTAAATTTAATTCTTAAACACCATTTTAATTTTTAAAATTACATTACACATTCTGTAAAGCAATAAAATCTTATTTGAAGCTATGCATATGCCAGCTAAATCTGGCCTAAACATGAATCCCCATTGTAACAGCTTTGACATCATTTTTACTTTATTTTCATGGTGCCAGAGCTATGGTTGGTAAAGAGTGCATCAACCACCAAAACCACCACAACAGAAACTGGCCCTAAAATAGTGTTCCCAAGTAGGAAATTGAAGAAAGAAACCCTGGATACGCCGACGGGTGACGACTCACAGAACGCAGGCTCGGTGGTAGATCTCACTGAAGACATGGTCTCTGGCACCCAGCGCACACCCACTCAGGAGAAAAGTGTTGCTAGGCAACCCGCTGAGAAACCTGTTGAAAAAAGTACTTTAATATGTGTTTCTACTGCATCACAGCCAGTCAGACCTGGCATAATTGCTGTTTCCACTGCGGTTAGAACTGGTGCAATGGCTGTTTCCACTACATCGCAACCGGTCAGAACTGGTATTATGGCTGTTTCCACTGCATCACTAACTGGTGCAATGGCTGTTTCCACTACATCGCAACCGGTTAGAACTGGTATTTTGGCTGTTTCCACTGCATCACTAACTGGTGCAATGGCTGTTTCCACTACATCGCAACCGGTTAGAACTGGTATTTTGGCTGTTTCCAGTACATCGCAACCGGTCAGGACTGGTATCATGATTGTTTCAACCGCACTGCAACCGGTTAGAACTAGTTGTCTAACGTCTGTTTCCTCCACCACACTGCAGCCAGTTAGAACTGGTTCAACAGTGATTACAGCTACATCTCAGCCTGCTAGAACTAGTATAACATCTGTTTCCATTACAACCCAGTCAGCAGGTACTGGTTGTGTAAACACTGTTTCCGCTACATCACAGCAAGTTAGAACTGGTTTAACACCTGTTTCCTCCTCGTCGCAACTGCTTAGAACGAGTTTAATGGCGGTTTCCTCTATATCACAGCCGGCTGGAACTACTTCTCCGACACCAGCAGACATTTGTGTATCCAGTGTTGAACCAACAGACCAATCTTCTGTACAAAAAACTGTTCTGAAGACTCCTTCAACTACAGTTATTGAATCAGGCAAATCTGTGTGTGCCAAAGAACCCAAGATCAATGAACCTTTGCAGAACATGACAAGAAGCAGTGACCCAAAGGAGATCCTATCTGAAGAGCTCAAAGAAGATTCGTCTCATCTAGCCCCACCACTTTGTTCACAAACAGGAAAGGAGCCACAGACTCCACCAACTAACCTGGCCAACACAACAACATCAACAACAATCAATCAGTCCCTAGCAACAACAGAAAACTCTGAGATTTCAGAAAAGAAAGATGACTCCCCCAGTGTTCTTCAATCCGCAGAAATATCAAACGCTAGTGGGCTAGAGGAAAATGATAAAAGTAAAGACGATCAGTGTTTAAATAGCTCCAAAGTGAGCTCAAACTCAGAACCACAAAACTGTTTACCTTCCGGGTCATTGACCCCTCCTCTAGCCACTACATCTGGTTCTTCAGTCAGCCCAGGCTCAATATATAAAGAAAATTTACAAAAGGTAATTGAAACCTGCAAGGCTAAACTGGGTATTGAAAATCAAAACGATGATGTTGAGACATTAATCTTAAGTGATGATGATGACGAAGAAGATTTGGAGGCTGCTAAGGCTAACGAGGACAGCGATAGTGAGGGCAGTGGAGCTCTGCTTATGGATATTGATGATCCTAGTGAGCATGAAAGTTCAAGGTCGGGAAACAAGGAGCCTGGGGTCACCCAGAGCTCAGAGGGGTTAGAGTTGATGCCAGAAGATCCTCTGCCTAGCAGAAGTGAAGGCCTCAAGGGGGGAGAACTTAGTGCTTTGTCTAAGACTAAAGACACAGAGGGGTCTGTTGTTGAAGAAGGCAGGGAATCTGTTGAGAAAGAGGCTGATGCTCCCACCGCAACACCTTCCTCAATAGGGCATACAGACTCAACTTGTCATGATGATTCTGTGGAATGTATAGAAAACTCAGAGCAAACAGTAAGAGTAAACTTAGATGATAGTGTAATTCCTTCTGTTTCGGGAGTGAAAGAACCAGTGGTAACTGACGCAAATGAAAGCACAAAGGAGAAAGTGGTCAAAGTTTTAGGTGTTTCCATGGAGACGACAGAGGAAGATTTATTGAAAGAATCTGAATTGGACCAGGTCATTACGATTGAAGATGACCTAAGTGATGATGATGATGAAGAAGATGATAATGTTGAAGACCATGTCAGCCTAGACATGGAAGTGATTTGTGAGGATGGGTCAGGGGACGACGATCGTGTTAACGAAGGTGAGCCAATACCAAAACGGAGCAACGACTCAACAGAAAAAGCTGCCTTAGCTTCTGCTGACAGCAACGCAACCAAAGACAAGCCTCAAACTTCCATTCTTGCATTCCCGAAAATCAAGAGAATCCTCTCCGATCCGCAGCCGGTTACCACCACACCATTACCAACCACGTCACCTACTTTCTCAACCCACCCCATGCCAGCACTGACCCACCACTCAGCGAAAAGCTCAACCGCCACGCCCACCACCCCCTCAACCCCTAAACCAAAAACCAAAGGTAAAATGGTTCAAATTCAACGCCCTATCATAGTCTCCAGTGGCGCAGGTGGCATTACTTACATGGTGAAGTTAAAAGAGCAAAAGAATACCAGTGACTCCCAGACTGTTCAAAGTATTCCAGCTCTAATGAAGAGTCCTGGTAAAAGTATAGCTGAGGCTCAGTGCAGGCAGAGGGCCAGCAGCTTGGAAAGCACTGATAGGCTTAGCAGCCAGGAATCCAGCAGCGACAGGGATGGTTTAACCCCAGGACTCACTGGCGCAGTTCAAACCTCGGAGTCCAGGACCCAAGTATTGAATGAAGGGTTAGTTGCTTTTGTGTACTTAAATCATCTTTCTTTTGTGTACTTAAATCATCTTTCTTTTGTGTACTTAAATCATCTTTCTTTTGTGTACCTAAATCATCTTTCTTTTGTGTACTTAAATCATCTTTCTTTTGTGTACTTAAATCATCTTTCTTTTGTGTACTTAAATCATCTTTCTTTTGTGTACTTAAATCATCTTTCTTTTGTGTACTTAAATCATCTTTCATTCTTGACGGTGTCTAAGACTCACCAGTTTCTGTGGTTTTTGGAATGTTGGAAGTATTGTGTGGTCAGCGCAATGTTTTTATGGGACAGCATGGCTGCTAACTTGAAAGTCTAGAATTCAAATCCAAGTTCAGTTCAGTTGGTTGTCCCTGAGCCCACCCAGCTCTGATGGGTACATAACACATGTTAGGGAAAGTTAAGGTGGCTGGCATTGTCTCCAACCTTTCATATGCCGAGGTCTCACAAACAGGTGAACTCTACTTCACTTGCCGCATGGACAGTGACGTTTGAAAAGGGAACTTTACATTTTTCTATATTTTAACTAAGTTATGTCAGGTGCTCTTCAGAGCAGGTTGGATAAAGAATGTCTTAATTACTTGAGCTCTTGCACATAAGCATTAAACGTTAGGGTTTGAAGTCAAATGCTGTACCATTCTACCACACCATTCCTACTATTAACTATTATGTTATCCCAAATTGTGTCAAATGTTTTCAATGATTTACAATGTTCATTTGGGTGGTAACGTAAATGTAGAGCCTATGTAGAGAACATCGTAACTAGCCTAACAGTTATGGATTTTAAACCAGGCATTAGAATGGCTTCCAGGCATTAGAATGGTTTGAAGTTTTTATTTAGCAATTATTCCTACAAGATCGTGCTGTATGTAAGGGGGGGGGGGACTTGATGCTTTCAACAACTATATTCATTCATTGCCAATCATTGGGAAGTACCGAAATTTTGAGTAACTAAATTTTTTTATAGCATAACCTTTCCAGAGGCGTAGCGACCCCTCCCGGCGCCTGGGGACATTTGGCGCCCCCCCCCCCCCCCCTTCATTTTTCTTATATTTATAATACAAACTGCAGCTTAAATGAGCTTTTAATATATTTTTTTCCAACTTATTTTGGCGCCCTTAGGGTCGGCGCCCGTGGACATATGTTGTACCCCCCCCCGTCGCTACGCCTCTGAACCTTTCCCTACCACATGAAATCTACAAGTACTACCGCAAGTCTTGGCCGAAAGAGTCGAAATACTCAAAATTTGAAAGAAGGCAGATAATTAGATCTTTTACTTACTTGTGAAATTTCATTTATCTATCTGAAACAGTACTCACGTTATAGGCAGTTTCTTCCAGGCATCTCTTCGGAAGGCGGCTCCGCCCCCCCCCCTCGCCCCGAACGAGATGGATTTTATATAATAAACATACACTTTTACTAGTGCCCCCCCCCCCTCGCCCCGAACGAGATGGATTTTATATAATAAACATACACTTTTACTAGTGTCCCCCCGTCCGTCCCCCGAAAATTTCAAGTGCCCCCCCCCCCCCCCGGAGATAAAAGTCTGGAAGAAACACTGGTTATAGGCTTTTGAAAAATTAAAAGTAGAATAAATTCCCGGTTATCGGAAATCGCTGAAAAGTTGAAACAGATCTACAAATTTGATATAATACATATAGATCTATATGAAATTTCATCAACCTAGCTGTAACGGTACTCAAGTTATCGTGTTTACAAACACACACACACACAGACATACGGACAAAATTGCAAAACTGTTTTCCGACTCAGGGAGGTGTTAAACGATTACAATACTTCCTTTATACCCCCGGATTGTTATATAAGCATATTCGAGATAGTTTAGCTGAGATCACTCCCGCTTTATTTGAAAAGACATACAGAAAAAACAACCCAAATCGTTTGGCTTTTTCTCCAAGATTCTTTAGTTGTCTAAAATATTAATTACACGAAATTGAGATAGATCTAGATCTAGAATCACTATGAGGAATTAGTACAAAAGTAATATCATTTTTACTTTCTCGTATATACGTAGTATAGAGAAAGTATTGTAATCGTGCAAAAAAAAATCGAGATTTTTACAAATCTCGACGTTTTACACCTCACTGATACGGAAAAACATAATTTTGCAATCTTGTCCGTATGTCTCTGTGTGTGTGTGTGTAAACACGATTACTTGAGTACCGTTACAGCTAGGTTGATGAAATTTCATATATAAGTATTTTATCAAAATCGTAGATCCGTATCAACTTTTGAGCGATTTCCGATAACCGGAAGTGGTACTTTTTCTACTTTGAATTTTTCAAAAGCCTATAACTTGAGTACTATTTTAGATAGATAAATGAAATTTCACATGTAAGTAAAAGATCTAATTCTCTACCTTCTGTCAAATTTTGAGCAATTTCCGTTGACCGGAAGTACTAATTTACGCTATTTCCGATTTCTCAAAAAACGCATGTAAATTTATAAAGTACTAATAATATTGCGCAATTATTTTTTCTATGAGATTCTATTCTATTTTTAAAAGTTTAAGTAATTAAAAATCATGTCTAGATCTATATTCCAAGTTATATAAGAATATTCGAGAAAGTTTAGAGGAGATCACTCCCGGTTTATTTTAAATGAAGTTTAAAATATCCAAACTCTACTTCGAGAGTCCAACCCGTTTGATGCTTATGAATCGCGTGACTTTTCTTCAATCAAATTACTACTCAAATGACGTCATAATATATGATGTCATCGAATGAAAAAAAGATGGCAGCTCGCAAAGTAACCGAGAGTGAATACGTGCGTGAATATCTAAAACGAAAAGCAGCAGAAAATAACTTATTAAAACGGTAACCAGGGTGACTAGGTCTCTATGAAAACGAGGTTCCATTTTTATTTATCTCCCACTCAGGCGCCAACTATTGACATTGTTATTCTAGATCTAGATCTAGATCTAGATTCTAAATTATAATTTCTTTTTAAAAAAAATAGATCTAGATCTATTCTAGATCTAGATCTAGATAGATCTAGTTTATTATCATTATGACATGTGTTCGTTCATTAATATTTAAGATATTGTCGATTTTAAATAAATTGGGCCTATACCGATACATATTTAAAATTGCCGTACTCTTTCAAGCGAGTATTTTGCCAAAAAAAAACGTTCCTATACTAGGCCTATACTCGTCAAATCTAGCTAGACTAGCAGGGTTGTAACGAAGTCATCGACAAAATAAATTGCTACGATACTGTATTACTCCGCCGGTTACTCTAGCGCTCAAGACCTCGTTGTTGGCTAGTCTAGTCAGCTCATGGAAGAGTATTTAAATTTTCACACTAGCGGGATTTCCCATTCCACCGTGTTTGATCTAGATCTAGATCTATAAAGTTTCGATTACATTTGTGACGTAGGATCTAGTAATGCCACTCATTGTTTTTGTACTTGAAGTGGTAGAATCTAGATTCTAGATCTAGTTTCATTTTGTAAAATGGCGCCTTCACACTTTTATAGATTTGCGAGTGGCCATCCTCTCCTTGCCATCAATTATCTAGATCTAGATCTAGACTAGATTCCTCTTTCATTCTTTCACATACAAATCTTCTCTTTTTTTTCACCCTCCTTGCAGTTTCAAAATATAACATCTAGAGATCTGGGGCTAGTGTTGTGGTAACTTTAAAACAAAAGTCTTGATTTATCTAGATTATAGATCTAATAATTAATAGTTAGATCTAGACTCTAGATCTAGGTTTCTAGATATAGTCTAGATGTGTATACATTACAAATACATTTTACATAGATCTACATAGAATCTAGATCTAGATTTTCTACATGACGTGATGCAGATGGGGGAAGGGAGGCTTCGTATTTTGATGGAATTGGTGAGAGGGGGAGGGTAAGAAAATGTGAAGTAGAATTCTATTTGTGTTTCTTAGAAATAAAAGTAGATTCTAATAAAAATTATTTTATTTTATTTAGATCTAGCAGTATGGTAGTTTTTAGGAATGGAGTGGAACTTTGTGGCATTGCTCATGTAGATTCTAATAGCTGCAGTGATTGCTTTGCCATGGAATGAGATGATGGCATGGCAAAGTTTCTCTTTAAAACCTTGTTGTCATTTACGTTACAAAAGCTATTAATATGAAAGTATTTAAAATAAAAACTACTTTAAAACAGAGACCAATCTTGTCAGACTGGAACAGGGACAACTTTATCAAAGAAGATTAGCAATATTGTGAGACAAAGAACTGCAGTGGTAAGTCTGTGTTAGGGTCTTTGTTTTTTCATATGAATATGTTTTGTTCGTTCATGTTTTATTTTTAATATGGTGGTGGTGTTCTTATGAATGTCGATGTATTGGGGATGGTGTTTGTAGTGTTGATTTGGTGGTATTGTTCTATATTGGCTGAATATTGATATGATAATAGGAATTATAATATTAATTAGTTTTAAAAAATGGATAACTCATCAAATAATAGTTCTATTGTTTACTTATAATTTTGGAATATTATATTATTAATTAGCAACAACAAAAAGTTTAATTTGTAGATAATAGTCAGAGCATCAAGAAGTATACTTAAAATCTGTATAGACATTTTGAAACAAGATAACCTAAAGAATATTGTTTGTACATTTTGCTTACTTTCAACTATTCCTGATAGTGAGCTCGACTCACTTAACTATTGTGGAGACCCTTCTCTATTAACAGTTTGGTCTGCTTATTATACAAAATCAGGCATGCCATGGAAAATCACAGCTTTCTCATCATACTCAAAATTACTTTATCAAAGTAATAAAAAGTTTTTAAATCTTGAACCCGCTGTGTTTCTTAGGGCCTACATAATAGCTTTAAAGTAGGTGAAAAAATTAAGCTGTAGTTGTCATCTTACATTAAACAGATTTTTAAAAAAATGCTCATTTGTCCCCAGATTGAACACTTGTTATCTAAGCAGATAGAAGAATTAGTCAAAGATGTGGAAAACACTGCCAAGGTAGAATTTCTCAAAACATTTTCCTGATCAGACAGATGTAATTGGATACCATTTGCTTAGGTGCACTGGCTTGCTAGGGTCAGAGTTTTACTCCTCCACCCATACACACACCACAATGTATGAAGATAGTAAATCCAAAAGAGATAATAGCTTTTCATTGGTCAGGTGTTAGAATAATATCATATATTAAATATTATGACAAATAAAGAGATGACCTCTATTTTATCTGACCAATTGAAATAGTAATTAGCTCCAATTATTAATTGATCAATGTTTTTCCCTATATAGGCGGCACAAAGTGCAATCAATGTTGATGCAATAAATGAAAAAATTGAAGATCTGAAAAAGGAACAAGCTAAGGAGCTGGACAAACAGAAAAAGGATTTTGAACAAAAAATTAAAGATGCTTGGAAGATAGCTAGTAAGTAGATAGTAATGTATAGCTTTTCTGCTACATATTTCCTCACATAAAATAACTCAACTCAAAACCTATATATTTTATGTATTTATTTATTTATATCCCTGCATATTTTTATATGTAGTTGCAGACTCAATTAGCACTCTCTTCCATGTTCAAACAACCAAATTTATTGTTATTAAAATATATTAACAGATTTGTCCAAACGATTTTTTAAAACAAAAACTACACCCACTTGTTGAAATTGCAGTATTTCTTCCAATCTAATTGTCTTTAACATGATTTCCTTTCTTGTTTGTGCTCTTAATGCCCAGTGAGTTCCTCTTTAAGACAGCATTACATGACGTTTTTTCCAGCCACCACAGTTAAAGAGGTAGAAGCCAATTTTGACTTGCAAAAAAAAGCTCTGGGTGAGAGGTTGAAAGAGAAGTTCAACAAAGAGCTGGAGAAAGCTGTGGCAGAAACCAAGAAGATGCAATGGGTGAGAGATGCTCTCAACTTTATTTGCTCACACGCCTCTTTCAGTTATCCTGTGATAGTTGAAAGTCTAAAGGGGCGGGTTGGGTTTAAATGTTGGTGTAAGAATTTTAGTGAAGACATTTAGTAGTTTTTAAGCTGGGCTTTGTTGTCTTATGTTGTTGACTTCAAAGGGTTTAATTATTGGTCCACATTTCGTTTATAGTGTAAACCCCCTTTAATGACTAATTAGCTTTGTTCACCTGTCTGATAGAAAAAGATTGTTTTTATGTTAGTTGATTCTATAGCTTATGTTTTCATTTGTATATGTTATAACTTAAACTGAAGTTATTGTTAGCATTTTGATTGTTCTAGCATGCTTGTTTAGTGTGCTGAGTGCTGGAAGGAGGCTGAGTTCTTTAACTGTTGTGTTATATTTGTTAGTGTGCTAAGTGCTGAGGCTGTGTACTTTAACTGTTGTGTTATATTTGTTAGTGTGCTAAGTGCTGAGGCTGTGTACTTTAACTGTTGTGTTATATTTGTTAGTGTGCTAAGTGCTGAGGCAGTGTACTTTAACTGTTTTGTTATATTTGTGCTGGAATGAGGCTGAGTTCTTTAACTGTTGTGTTATATTTGTACTGGAAGGAGGCTGTGCACTTTAACCGTTGTGTTATATTTGTGCTGGAAGGAGGCTGTTTACTTTAACCGTTGTGTTATATTTGTTAGTGTGCTGAGGCTGATTTCTTTAACTGTTGTGTTATATTTGTGCTAGAAGGAGGCTGAGTAACTTTAACTGTTGTGTTATATTTGTGCTGGAAGGAGGCTGAGTTCTTTAACTGTTGTGTTATATTTGTTAGTGTGCTAAGTGCTGAGGCTGTGTACTTTAACTGTTGTGTTATATTTGTTAGTGTGCTAAGTGCTGAGGCTGTGTACTTTAACTGTTGTGTTATATTTGTTAGTGTGCTAAGTGCTGAGGCTGTGTACTTTAACTGTTGTGTTATATTTGTACTGGCAGGAGGCTGTGTACTTTAACCGTTGTGTTATATTTGTTAGTGTGCTGAGTGCTGGCAGGAGGCTGTGTACTTTAACTGTTCTTATATTTGTTAGTGTGCTGAGTGCTGAGGCTGAGTACTTTAACCATTGTGTTATATTTGTTAGTGTGCTGAGTGCTGGCAGGAGGCTGTGTACTTTAACTGTTGTGTTATATTTGTTAGTGTGCTAAGTGCTGAGGCTGTGTACTTTAACCGTTGTGTTATATTTGTTAGTGTGCTGAGTGCTGGCAGGAGGCTGTGTACTTTAACTGTTGTGTTATATTTGTTAGTGTGCTGAGTGCTGGCAGGAGGCTGTGTACTTTAACTGTTGTGTTATATTTGTTAGTGTGCTAAGTGCTGAGGCTGTGTACTTTAACCGTTGTGTTATATTTGTTAGTGTGCTGAGTGCTGGCAGGAGGCTGTGTACTTTAACCGTTGTGTTATATTTGTTAGTGTGCTAAGTGCTGAGGCTGTGTACTTTAACCGTTGTGTTATATTTGTTAGTGTGCTGAGTGCTGGCAGGAGGCTGTGTACTACTGCTGCTGGAACACCAGCTACTGTGGCTTCGAGTGCCAACAGAAACACTGGCCAGCCCATATGCCAAAGTGTATGCAGACACAACAGCAGCAACAACAGGGACAGAATGTGCCACAGGTATGTCTAATTCTTGTTAATAGACATATGCCACATTTGTGCTTTCTAAAAATGTCTCTCATTAAGTATACTTTATCTTCTGTAAAGTATCTGTAGAATATATCTTATGTAAGTTATCAGTATCTTTTATCTTGTGTAATTTATCAGTTTATTTTTAACTTTTAAGTAATTTATAAAGAGAAATTTACCAAAATCTTTCATAGGCCTGTTTTAATATTTAAAACCCTTCATCTTTAGGAACAATGTCATAAATGTTGGTGAGCAGTCAACATTGGCATTAAAATTACTTAAATGTTGACAAATTATTTCAATGTTTTTAATAAATTAGGTAGAATGATAAAAAGGTTTGAGGTTTTCCCTTATTTATTCATACATATTTATTATTTAGTATGTTTGCTGTAGATGCAGCTTTATTAAAAATAGTAATAGTTAAAGCTAATAAAGATTGCAAGGTAGATATCTTAATTTTTTTTAATGTAAGAAAAAAAGATTAGGTTTTAATCTGCAATGTTGTTTGTCAAAATAAATAGTTCAAAGATTCCACATAATAAGCCAAAATATTTGTGCCATTCCCCCAGTCTCCAAACCAGGCTACTCCAAACCAGGCTACTCCAAACCAGGCTATGAAAATCATCTCCACCTTGACACCAGTCAGTCACAACATGTCCACAGCCTCACCAATTGTCACCCCAGTCACTGTCAAGTCACTCCTAAACAATGCTAAACAAAAGAAAGCTATGACCATATCCTCACAGAAGACTAATGAAGAAGCAGTTAGTGTAAGTAAATCATTAAGTCTTCTCACTTTTTTAGCTAGTGTATGTTGGATATCGCATGCAATTTCAAGCTTCACTAGTGTTTAAACAAATTTTAACAGTTAAAAACTTAACTTTTTCATCTTTAATTTGATACCAATTTTAGTTATCAAAGTGAATCTGTAGACTGAAAAATGCTTATTTGTTAACGCGATGCAACTATTCCTTTGTAATGAGTTCAGGTTTGCTCACGAAAATTTTCTTCTGCATTAGTCAATCCTGTCTAAATACACACAGAAAATAAATTAAAACAAGGCTTGGTTTATTTCACTTACAGAACTGGGTAGTTTTTTTTTTACATGTCAAGTGACAGCTAGTGTACATTAATGATTTTCTTGCTTATAGTTAATTACTTGCTTGTCCATGCATAACAAAATAGGGATTTTACTTTACCTGTTATTTTCACTAAGCTTCCTATTTCATACATTAAGCTGACAAAAATGTATCATTTAGTTTTCTTACTTAACTGTTAAGCACTCTCTTCCACACTAAGGCTAGCTAACCAATCATTTGGTTGTTACCATTTTAAAACTTACACAACATTGAACATATTTTATACAATAAGGCAAAGAAATTTTATATTTTTTTAAAAACACAACTTTAGAATGGATATGTGACTATATTGTTTAATGATTGTTTTTAATTTTTTTTTTCCTTTTTTTTTTGTAGGTAAATAAGTATCTTGACAAATCGTTATGAATTTTGGTTTTTTATTTTTATGCTTTGTCTTTTTTTTTTAAGTTGTTGTTTTGATTTAATTTGCTGGAATTTTCAATTAGTAAAAAAAAATTAAAATGTATTCTTTTCTCATTGTTGCAATTACAAAGCAAAAATAGTTGCTAACATTAAATTCTTCCGTACATGTTTTGAAATATTGTTTCATCCTTCAACAATCCTGATATTCAGCTAGGTAATTATTGTGATATTGAATAAATAAAATGAAACAAAATTTAAGTAACTATTTTAGCAATTTATTTTGTTTGATGTTTTAGGTTTTATTAGTGAATATTTATTTAAGTTATTATCATGTATTTGACACTAAGGAAGTGCAGCTTTAGAAATCAATGATCAACAGGCTTATTCCACATTAATCTAAAAAACAAAAGTTTAAGAAAAAACAAATAAGACACAACACTTTTCTTTTAATGCTTTTTATAAAGTAAAAATGGGGGGGGGGGGGGGCGGGGTGTATTATGAAATTGTGGAAGAATTTTATGCACAAGGCTGTTATTGACTTGAAGTTTTTGTGTTAAGACAGTTGGAAATAGCTAGCAAGGGTAGGGATTTTGTTGTGTTTATGGAGTGGATGATATGTTACTGTTTGTGTAAAGACAGTCTCATTCTATACATTAATCTAAAAGCATACACTATTCGTCACATTAACAACATTCATTTTGGTATGGTCAAAAGTTAATTAAAAGTCTTAGTTGGATTAGGTTTATAGAATAATGTTTTACCTATGTGAGTGAGTTAGCTTGTTTATCACACAAACAATTTCAGCAGTACTTTGGTAGTGGTCATGGACTAAATTGGTTTTTTAAATGACCTCTTAATTTCTGGAGTTGTCATAACCAAGTCACTTTATAATAAAGCGTGACAGCTAGGTAGAGCAGTGTGGTAGGCTTGCCATACAACTGAGAAGATTTTGAAACCTTTTAGCAAGTTAATGAAGTGAGCTTACAACTTATCAACACTCTAAAAGTTCCCTTTTCGAACCTGACAGTCCAAGTGAAATAGAGTTCACTTGTTTCTGTGTTCTCAGCATATGATGGGATAGTGTGGTCAGCACTATGCCCAAACGCCTTTAGTTTCCCTAACATCAGAGCTGGGTGGACTCAAGGGTGTTCTACATTTCTTGAACCCGGATTCAAACCCAAGACTTTCTGGTTAGCAGTCTAGCACTTTACCGCTATGCCACACCATCCAATATTAACACACTAAGTCACCATGTAACCTAATAACCTTAGAGAAACACAATTTATTAACTTTTAAAAATCTTTAACTTATCCACCTTCTCATAGCTTATATTATTTATAAGATGACTTAGTTGTTAATCAAAGGCATTTTTGTAATCCACTTAAATTACTATTTTTAATAATCTAAACGACCTTATTCTAATCCATTTAATAATTTGATACGAAATTGATGATATTATAATTGACTCTTCCATTTATCTAAAAGAAAATGTAATAAATTTGTTATGGGTTCATGTTTCTCTATGGCAGCAGTACTTTATAATAACAATTTACGCAATTCATGCACATATTTGACCTTTCAAAGATATGTAATTGCAGATTCCTGTGTCTTACGGCCAAAACTATCAGATAGATCTACAGTATGTACCCCAACAGAGGCCGATTAGTTCTGTTCGCCAACAGGTTAGCTTTTGTTTCATTATTGAATTTGTTCATTTACTGGGGATTTTCTAATAATATTAATGCATCAAAGCAATCACTTGTGAAGCTGACAAATGTGATGAAAGTCAGGACTTTGATCTTAATGAGATACAAAACAAAATTCCAAAAATCTTGAAGGTGGGATAATTGCTTTGATTTGTTAGAAGGGTGGAGATGGGTTTGGCATTTTACTGTCTTTCAGATTTTAAGGTGACCAAAACAAATTTTAAAAATCTACTGGATTTGCCCTTTTTTAGAACCATCTGATTTTGAAATGGTATTTTTCTCTGATAAAATCTTATGTTAAATTATGTTAACAAATTTTGTGATATAGTTGTTTTTTTTTTATTTAGTTCAATGCTGTTTGTCCTCATCCCATATTTATACAACTGTTTAGGTCCAGGTTGTAGGCTCCAACACACAACTGCCCATCATCATGCCATCAATCATATCCAATGGTGTCCTGCGGCAGCCAGTGCAAGTGATTCGCAACTTCCCCTTAGTCCGTCAATCAGCGCCCAACACACCAACTCAGCCAAACATTGAGAACAGCCAGTACATCATCACCTCTGGTCTGGGGGGTCTGGTCAAACAAGCAAGGCAGATCTAATTTGTTTCTATCATCTACTGCTACTCATCTGCACTATTACCATATTTCTGTAATCATTTTGCTGAATCACCTATTAGATATTTTTAAAGTAGTATTTTTTCCTTAACAACATTATGGAAAAAGTACTACTTTAGACTTAATATGGCTAAAATCACGTTGTAAATAAACATTTTTTTTTTTTCTAATTTGACTTTTATTCATGGATCTTTTAACTTGTCATGTAAAATAATCCCTCTAGATACAATTTTTCAAAATATCTAGTAAAAAAAAAAATCTGTTGTTGAAGTTGGAACTAGAATAAACCACTATCTATTTACTTTAAAAAACGTTTTTAGTTTTTTGCACAGAATGAATGGGGAAACTGGAGATGAAGAAACATTTTGTCTAGATGATGAGCAAAGATGGAGTGAGAAAAATCTAGGTCAGGATGTGGAACAAAGTCTGAAATATAAAGTAGGAGAGATTGAAGCATCAGGTGTGGATCATAAAATCAATGGTTTAGAGAATCAAAAACCAAGCAATGAACTTGAATATGAAGAATTAAAAAATGGACTAAGTATTGAATACAAAGAAGAATTGGAAAATGGATTTGGTGATGATTTCCTGAAAGAAACATGTTTTTATGATACCAATAGATGTTTGCAACAAAGTCATGTTAAGCTAACAAAAGTTAAACGTGCAGGTTCTGGTAAAAGAAGGAAAAAAGGAGATCTCTCTCGCAGAACGCGTGATGCCCAACGAGCAAGGAAAAGAAGATTGTCACTATTAGCCCAAGAAACAGAAGAGGAAGCCGCAGCTAGACGTGCTCATATAGCTGAACAAGCTAAGCGCAGATATTTAGCTAAGCTAGCTCAAGAAACTGAAGAGGAGGCAGCTGCAAGACGCATTCATCATGCTGAGAAACGTAGGCTCAGAAGGCTAGAGCATACAGCTAAAAAACCTGCTGCCACAAGGTGTGTGTTTTCTACTGAACAACCTGGGATCAAACAACACTTAGAGCCCAAGAAACTGAAGAGGAAGTAGCTGCAGGCGTGCATATACTGTGGAACAGGCTAAACAAAGAAGATTAGCATGGAGAGCAAAAGAAACTGAAGAGGAGGCATACATATGCTGAACAAGCTAGGATCAAACGATTGGCTCAAAGAGCTAAAGAAACTGAACAGGGGGCAGCTGCAAGATATGCATTAGCAGAAAGAGGAGCTCAAAAAAATGAAGAGGAAGCAACGCCAAAGATAGCTCAAAATACTGTAGCGAAAGCTCAGCTAGGGAGAGCTAGAAATACTTTTGATGAGGCTTAGCTAGAGAGAGAGCTAGAAATTCTGTCAATGGGGTGCTAAGTTATGCTAACAAATGATAAAGCATCAGTTTCTACCATGCTCACTTTCTTCATCTAGGCTAGTTTAGTTTATCAATCTTGGAGGAGCTCTTTCTGGACCTGGAATTCCAGAATTTGCACTATCTAGGGTCAACATCTACATTAACATCACTGCCTTTCTAGCATTTGACACATAGGCATAAATTTGTTTTTTTAATTCAAAGCCACATTTTATTATGTATATTTATGAAAACAACTACAGTATTGTTTTAGGCTTAGAGTTAGTATTTCAATATTTCCTTTTGAATTAAGATGTATGTTAGTAAACAAAATTTTCTGTGTTTATTCCTTCATATTAAATTAAGCTCACCAAACATTATGCAAACTTTGAACGTTATTTACATTTTTTTAAAGCATTAATTGATGCCTTTTTAAAAAAATGTTATCTAAACAGCACATTTGGAATAGATAGTGATATATATAATTTTTTATCTCAAGTATTTTTCGGACTTAACATCAGCATTAGTTTTCATGGCTAACTCTGGTAAAATGTCTTGAATTGAAAACTAAGGTTTGATGTTATGCAGAAGTGCTTTGACTTAAAAGTTTATGTAAAACAAAATAAAAACTTCAACACAAAGATAGTGTAGCATTAGCATACATCTCATTGCTTCAATGCTTTTAAAATTAAATACAAGCAGCAACACCACTAGGTAGTGTCACCCCGCCCCTTCAACAATTTTGCTTTTTTTTTTGGCTAGGTGTTAACCTTAACCCCAATGATTTTTTTTTAAATTTATAAAAATGAAGCTGTACATTTTTTATTTGGTGTCACTCTCTAAATGATGTCACATGGTGCGGAACACATCCCATGTCTTGTGATGTGATGCTATGGAGTACTAGTTCTACCGTAAATGTATGTTAAAGGTCACAGGTTACAGACCTTATAGCTAGGTCTTTGCATGTTTTTATTACACCAGCAATAGTCTTTGACAGAGCATTTTGCAATGTTGTCATATCAAATAGTCATTCTATCATTTTCATTACCCATATCAAAAGTCTGCTTAGAAAAATAAAGAAACTCAGCTTATTACATATTTATTATTTTAAAGGTTCTAAAAATGTCATTCTTGCTTATAATTATTTTAACGTTCTTAATTATGTAAAAGTTGTGTGAAACTAAAAACTCCCTTAATTTTAAACTCACTTTCTGTTAAAGATGAGTTTAAGTATTTGATTAAATTTGTTTTTAAATGTAATAAGTATGTACATTGCATTATTGTGTTGGTGTTTCTTGTGGTCTATTATGTATTGCTCATTTCACATGATAGTTTTTTTAACCAACTTGAAATATTCTGAAAATTGCAATGATTGTGTACATACCTGTTAATCTGATTATGCTACAATAAGCTTGTATTTGTTATCTGCTATAGGAAAGAAAATGTTATTTTCTGTGTTGAAACTGCCCAAAAATGTACAAATTAAAAAGTGATAAAGGATGTTGTGTTTTGTAGATATGCTATTGTGTGTTATTGTTTTCCCATTAGATATATTGTAACTGTGATAGTGTTATCATTTTGATATAATTGTATTAAGTTTTGAAGCCTGAAACTGAAACTTGTTTCTTTTCCACCAACCCTAAACCCAATGAGTTGAAGACCCTTGTACTTCTTTGTTAGGCAGTAATTTAAATAGATCTAATGGCTGCTATTTCTAAAGAAAAGCAGAATAAATACCTAAACGTGGGCTTAGTACTGAGTAATTATTGACTAGGGACACCATAAGGTGCTGCCAAAGTTTTTTTAATGATCATTTTGTCCTCTTCAAAATGCTATGCTACACATCACACTATCTCAAAATTACGACCCCTTTTTCCCCTCTGGAGAATGACGTCATTTTTACGGACTGGTAAAAATGACCAACGCCCTTTCAGGGGATCAGGGCAAAATCAGTTTCTTCCAGGCATCTCTTCTGAGGGAGGGGGGGGGGGAGTCTGGAAGAAACACTGGGCAAAATTGATAGTTTTTTTTAATTTTTTATCCACACGTGTTTCTAGCTCCTTTTCTTTTGTTGTATACTAATTCGTTGTCTTTATAATTATAAAAAATATAGCTAATAATAATACTAATAATAAAACGATTTATAACTGTGACAATGGTATTATATTATGAATAGGCAGTGGCCTCCTTTTTTCATATCGGCACTAAGTCTAGTTAGTTTAAAGTTTAACTGAGTAGGTCCTATAAAAAAAGACAATAATATATACTATATAGTAAATAAAAAATTATAAATATAAGTAAATTCCTTCTTCCCCACTCAACCCAGTCCCTTTCAAATTTCAAGCTTAATTACCCGCTACAGTTAGGCCTTATACACTTAGACCTCAATATTCCAACAAAAATACAAAGGATCAGAGCTTCTTTCTCTCTCCCTCCCTTTCCCCCCCCCCCCCCCCCCCCCCCCCCCGGAGAAAAAAGTCTGGAAGAAACACTGCAAAGGATCTAGCTGTATGTTCTAATTCCTAAAATCAATTTTTATACCCTAGTCACACAGTTATCTAGACTAGCTAGAACTAAATCTATTCCTAATTTTTAATAATCCTAGTCTAGTCTGCTAACTAATTAACAATATTATCTCCCTTTGGCCTTGTAATAACTTGTTTCGAATTCTAGGCCGATGACATTTGTCAACACATTCATTTAGTATTTATGTTTAATAAATTAGATCTAGATCTAGGTTCTAATAATAATATTAATAAACTAGAATTTAGAATCTAATGATAGACAAATGGGAAAGGGAAGTATTAGTATTATCAACTCACTAGAACTAGACTAGCAAGAGGTCAAGATCACGATCTATATAGATATTATTAGATATAGGTAAAATCTTAGTTTAGCGTCGTAAATTCCAACTTAGCTAGTAATGTGCGATGAAGGTAACTAATGAATATTTCTTTCATTTGGCCATATTTATGTCATATTTTACATAATATAACAGATAATTGAATACCAAATCACAATCCAAGACCAAACCAGTCATAAATATCCTGGAATAAACTTTAAACTACCCCGTTCGAGACAACAATGAGTAAATACAGGCAGCGGCCATGTTTTAAAAACAATAAATTGTCTATTCGCATGTCTTTTGTGTTGATTTTGTGGTTTAATATGATTGTTTTGTATTGTTTTAATATATGCCGGGGGTCGTCCATAAATGACGTCACACTCGTAGGGGGGAGGGGGGCCCGTAATTTTGTGACGTTGTGTGTGAGGGGGAGGGGGGAGGGGTTCAGATGGTGCGACATCACACTTTTGCATTTTAAAAAAGCAATGTTACAAAACGAATTTTAGACGTTATTTTGCGTTTTAAAAAACTGTTTTAATACATTGTAATAACAATTGATTAAAATACTCTATTTTGACAGAGTTCAGACAAGATTTTGGAAAAATATAGCTGTTAAAAAAAATTCAACTGCAATTTTGAGGGGGGGGGGGGTGTAGGCTGAGGTGTGACGTCATTTTAGGGGGGGGGGGTCTGGCTTTTTGTGACTACGTTTGACGGAGGGGAGGGGGGGGGAGGTAAAAATCGTCAAAAAAAGCGTGACATCATTTATGGATGACCCCCTGTATAGTAATTTTTCTTTTTTTAAAAATATAGTTGACATGAATGACTAATAGACCATATCAGACTTAATAGTGTGCATCCAAGACCACAACAATTGTTGGGAGGTCGAACTTTTTAACACTTTATTTGCAGTAAGCAAATCAATATTAGATCGCTCATAAATGACGTCGCTCTTAAGATAGTAATGACAGCGTGCATTATTACAGAGCAAACATATGAACATATTGTTTCAGATAGAAATTGTGATTTGTGGTGGGGAGAGGTTGAGTAGAACTCAGCGATGTGATTTTGGAGACTGGTCAGGTTTTTTCTCTCGTGAAAACGGGATGGTTGTGGGAGAAAGACCAGCTGTAGAAGTATGACGCGTCATTCATTGGTGATCCATTTTCTCAGTGGGGACGAAAGAACTATTAAGAAAGGTCAAGAAATGTCAAAAGCTTGCCGAGTCGCATTTCTTGAACCCTACCTTTTTCATTCCCCCACTTAGCACATCGTCACCGAGTTAACGCTCGCACGTGACGTCATGTAGCGGTACCGCCGACCGTTAGGCTAATTTTATAGAAAAAAAAACAATAAGCATTGCCTTTTTGACGCTTTCGCGACGTTTAGTTTGATTACATAAGTTGGTGTTCATTAAACAGCCCCTAACACACCTATCACTCGTCCATTTAAACGTACGTAGTTATTTCTGCAAGCTTGCTGTCTTGAGACTTTCGGCCCTTTAAAAATGTATTAAGCTCACACCGTATAGAACTAGACTACCCATATTAAGCTCCAAAAGAAGCTTGGTGAAAACAGGATGGCCGTCCGATTTTGTAGCTGCTCTGCGCTTTTTAAAAACCACAATAAACGATAAGATGACACTTATATTAAAGTAAATTATAGTTCTGAATCTTGATACATTAAAAGTGATATTCGGAAATTAAGAGCCAGACCAGACAGTCAACATATTTCAATTTAAGTCCAAGAAAATAAATTTCCTCAAACGATGGAACATTACTAAATTTTCGCGCAGTTTAGCGAAATTGAATTTAAGTATTTACGTCATCTTACAAAGCGCGATAGCTTACTGGTGCTCTAACGTGGCCCATGCTAATGGCCGTATTCCTAACGCCCCGCATTAGACACGGCTTATTCGTCGGCAGGCATTTGGTGGCAAGCCTTTTTGACGGGGATAATGTGTTGCGGACGTTTTGCCGAATGTCTTAAACTAGCAGGCTTGCGACATTTGTGTTTTAAGCAAGGTATACGTATACTAATGCTTATTTATCGTTATTTTGATTGAACAAAGCATTATAGAGATTCTCCATCAATCACCTAGGTATTTTTCCCCGTTCACCTCCTTTCATGAGACCGACACGTCATAAATTGCAAAGCCGCCTGAGTTGACGTCACAAATCTTCACTCACTCCCGTAGCAAATCATATGTGACATCATTGTGACATCATTTATGGACAACCCCATATCACTCACTTGTGTACTTGATATTGACGATTTGACAACAAAGGATAACCAAAATGTGTCTGGCAGGTGGAGACTTGGGATCGACCATAGTGACAACACGCGCTTAAGGGGTGGACGGGCTCATTGTTTTAGATGATGTTTTACGAGGGAAGCTGGTGGATAATACATTTGGTCTCTTTGTATATGTAAATGATGACAAACATTTAATGTTGTCAAAATTATGGTTAGAGATCTTAGATAAGGCAGAGTGAAGCGTAATTTTTTACATTATGACTTGTTGTGACATTGACGACAAAAATATGACGGAGGTTGGGGTTTAATTAAGGTAAAGAGAAGTAAAAAAAAAATGTCATAAGTTACGATAGAATTACTAACTGATGAAAAGAAAAACCTGAAATGAAAATAGTGAACATTCAAACAATAAGAAAAAACTCACAACTATTTAGTAATAGTAAGATCAGTAGCGTAGCGAGGGGGACGGGGGGGGATATATGTCCCCGGGCGCCGACCTTAGGGGGCGCCAAAATGGGTTGGAAAAATAAATTGAAAGGTTGAGGGGAGTGCAAATCGAAAGTTTGAAGGGGGGGGGGGTGCAAATGGAAATCTCGAGGGGGGTGGGGGTGCAAATTGAAAGTTTGAGGGGGGTGCAAATCGAAATCTCGAGGGGGGGGGGGTGCAAATCGAAAAGTTTGTCCCGGGAAGGGTCGCTACGCCTCTGAGTAAGAAAAAACGTGATTTAATACATGGATACAAGTTGCATCTCACAATGCTTCTAGAATTAATAAAGTTGTTTGTTAGGAAATTCACATTTAAAAAAATGCTTTGTAATACGGACTATACAACAAGACGATCATATTTAAATACATTTTCATATGAATAGAAATGAAAGGGAAGCTACTCTCAATAACATTTTCTTAAGATGGCTGCTGTTTTTAATAGCAAATTTACTATCTCGAACAGGGTTGATAAAAATTAATTTTAGGATATTTAAATTGATTTAACCATCAATGGTGATCTATTATTCAATTATTTATAATATTTTATTAAAATATACGAAAATATACTCATATTTAATGACATATTCATTAATTCACTCTCTCCCACATTACTAGTTTTGGCCGAATTTACGACGCTAAACTAAGATTTTACCTAGATATAGATCTAGACTCTCGATATAGATTTCTAGAATCTATTCGAGTATTCGTCGATCTAGATTTTAGACTCGGTAATTTTTAGCGTTAAAAAAATAAAGAGACGATCCATAAATCATAATGAGGAACATAATAAATAATCATTAGGGCCTATTTATCATAATGATTATTTGATTATGGATCTAGATTTCTAGATCTAATTAAATATAATATTATTTTTATTATTAGGCTATTACTACTAGATTCTATATTATAATATTAGTATTACTACTAGACTACTAGACTCTACTAGAGATCTAGATTAGATGATATCTATATTATATTAGTTAGATCTAAGTCATTCTAAGTTTGAACTAGATTCTAGATCTAAGTTAAAAAGTAAGAGAACTTTTTTATGAGAAAAAGGGTAACTCAGATAACCACAACAAATAATCCCTAATATCAAATAATTATTTATAATAAATAATAATACAATTAATTAATAATTAGGCCTAAGTCCTAAGTGGTTGGCTCTGTTGTATACTAAATACTAATCTATACAATTTCTATAGCCATTGCTAGTACATCATAGTGATCATACTGATAGTAGTTGTAAGTAAGTAAAGTAGTAGGCCTACAATTCACCACAACACATCTATGTATTTATGTATGTCATCTTCTATAGGCCTACTCATTCTATACACTATACTTTACTATAGTGACTTGACTTGACTTAGTCCTCTTTGCTCCTTATGGAGCATAGGGCCTCCACCATTTCCTTCCATTTCTTCCTATCCTCGGCTATTAATTTTGACATCTCCCAAGACATCCCTGTTGGCTTCAGTTCTTCAAGAAGACTCTGCCTCCAGGTCTGTCTTGGGCGCCCTCTCTTCCGCTTTCCCTGGGGATAGTAACTATACAGTATTACTTATATCTAGATCTATACAACCTATATCTGGATACCACATCTTAGATGGATAATTCTTATTTGTGCATCGTTGACAGAAAACAGACACATAGAACATAGATTACTTACTGTACTGTAGTAGGTAGTCTAGATGTAGATCTAAGTGCTTATCCTTTTGTTGCTGAACAAAGGAAGATAATTAAGGAGAGGGGATACCACCCAGTACCCTCGGACAAAATAGAATATATTATTTATATAGAAAATATATACTTTAACCAGTGTCTGTGCTCCTCTATTTTAAGTGTGTGTTCCCCCCACCCCATGAAGAAAAATGTCTGAAAGAAACACTGGTCAAGGATCTAGATATCTATATATTAATATTTATATTGGCTAGATAATATTATATAGATCTCCATAAATAGAAAAAGGGTCTAGCTGTTGGCCATTCATTACAATAAATATTTTTCATTTTCTTTGCACAGAATGATCGAGGAAACGGTGAGTGAACAAAAATTGTATCCATATGATGGGAAACAGCAAAGATGTAGAGAGGTAACTTTAAATCAGGATTTGGAACAAAATATGAAATACAAGTTTGAAGAATCAGATCATGAAATACTAGATCTTAGTCTAAAATGCAAACTTGAAATTTTGGAGAATGAAGAATTAAAATTAGAATATAAATGTGAAGAGTTAAAAAATGGACTTGGGCTGGACTATAAATTTGATGAGTCACCGAATGGACTAAATGTGGAATTTAAATGTGAAGCATTGGAGAACGAAGAAGTAAGTTTAGATTATAAATGTAATGGATTGGAGAATGGATCACCTGATGTTGCTCAAGCATTTAAAACATGTCCTAGAGGTAGTAGAAGATCATTTCAACAAAACCATATAAAACTAATGAAGTTATCGCATAGAGGTAGTAAAAAGAAAAGAAAAAAAGGGAATCTCTCTCGCAGGTCTAATAGTGCAAAACGAAAAAGATTAGCACAGAGAGCTGGAGAAACTGAAGAGGAGACTGCTGCAAGACGTGCACGAAAGACAGAAAAAGCTAGGCTCAAAAGATTAGCTCAAAGAGCTCAAGAAACCGAAGAGGAAGCTGCTGCAAGGCGTGCATATTATGCAGAACAAGTGAAGCAGAGAAGAGCTCAAGAAACAAAAGAGGAGGCTGATAAAAGACGTGCACAACAGGCAGAAAAAGCTAGGCTCAAAAGATTAGCTCAAAGAGCTCAAGAAACTGAAGAGGAAGCCGCTGCAAGGCGTGCTTATTGGGCAAAACTAGCTAGGCTCAAAAGATTAGCTCAAAGAGCTCAAGAAACTGAAGAGGAAGCTGCTGCAAGGCGTGCATATTATGCAGAACAAGCGAAGCAGAGAAGAGCTCAAGAAACAAAAGAGGAGGCTGATAAAAGACGTGCACAAAAGGCAGAAAAAGCTAGGCTCAAAAGATTAGCTCAAAGAGCTCAAGAAACTGAAGAGGAAGCCGCTGCAAGGCGTGCTCATTGTGCAAAACTAGCCAGGCAAAGAAGATTGAAACTGAGAGACCAGGAAACTAAAGAGCAGGCTGCTGCAAGGCTTGCTTATCAAGCAGAGCAAGCTAAGCGCAGAAGATATGAACGAAGAGCGCAGGAAACTGAAGAAGAAGCTGCCGCTAGGCTTGCTTATCAAACAGAACTAGCTACGCGCAGAAGATTAAAACGAAGAGCTCTGGAAACTGAAGAAGAAGCTGCCGCAAGGCGTGCTTATCAAACAGAACTAGCTATGCGCAGAAGATTGGAGCGGAGAGGTCTTGAAACTGAAGAAGAAGCTGTCGCAAGGCGTGCTTATCAAACAGAACTAGCTATGCACAGAAGATTAGAGCAAAGAGCTCAGGAAACTGAAGAAGAAGCTGCCGCTAGGCGTGCTTATCAAACAGAACTAGCTATGCGCAGAAGATTGGAGCGGAGAGGTCTCGAAACTGAAGAAGAAGCTGTCGCAAGGCATGCTTATCAAACAGAACTAGCTATGCACAGAAGATTAGAGCAGAGAGCTCAGGAAACTGAAGAAGAAGCTGTCGCAAGGCGTGCTTATCAAACAGAACTAGCTACGTGCAGAAGATTAGCACAGAGAGCTCAAGAGGCTGAGGAAGACAAGAAAGACATGCACATATATAAGAAAAGCTTGAGGGGGACAAAAAAGGCTTGCACGTATATGAGAAAATCTTGATGACAAGCAAGACTTGCACATATATAAGAAAAGCTTGAGGGTGACAAAAAAGGCTTGCACGTATATGAGAAAATCTTGATGACATGCAAGACTTGCAAATATATAAGAAAAGCTCACAAAATTGAAAAGAAAGCATCTTCTATATATGCAAATCTAGCTAAGTGTACAGGTTTAGCTAAACAAGCAAAAGTTGTTCTAATAGCCTTATGTACAAGTTAAGCTAAACAAGCAATACTTGCTCAGGTAGCCATATGTTGTACTAGTTCAGATAGACTAGCACATTTTGTTCAAATAAACCAAATATACAAGCTAAGCTAAATATGCACTTATTTCTCAACTAGCCAAGTGAAGAACAGTAGCTAGACAAGCTAAGGCGCTAACTGAACAATTTCCTAGAGGAATCCACAGTTTGATTTGATTGGGGAAATGTCTTGCTTAGTATCAGCCATCAGTGTCTTTTGTAGCCTCCAAGTCATGCACAAAAACATTTCATGAACTTTGGCAGCAGCAGTTTATTCAGAAGTCATCCATGATGTTTTAAAAAAGGGCCAACAGCTTACAACTGTGCCTCATGTTGTTCACTAAGTCATTGCTGAAACAAATACAGCCAATTAAGTATTAATCTCAAGCGTCAGCTCAAAGTTTAAACTATTTTGTGGGTATTAGTTGTTTCATTATTTAATGTTAAAAATTTACCGTTTACAAGACTGTTGTTGTGTACACTTTCTTAGAAGTAAAAGATCTGTTTCAAAAAACTAATTATTTAACACGTACATTGCTTAAATTGAAAGTTGTTTCCTTTGGAATAAAACTTGTGAAGTATAAGCAAGCATAGTGTTTATTATTATTATGGAAAGTTAACATTGTTTAGTTCAGCAAACTTGAATTCTATGAATTGCATTATTTGTGCTGAACTGGATAGTATTGTACTAAAGTGTATTTATTAAAAAAAAAAAGTATTTATATTAATATTTTATTTGTATTTTTTTAATACTTAGGTAATTGTTTTATTTGAACTTTATGTTGTCTGTTGTATTTTTTTTTAAATTGGTATTTATTATGTAGGTGGTCAAAGATTTTAGACTTTTGTTTTTTCAATATTAACATTATTAGCACTGTGTGCTCATACTAAAACTAAAAGCAATGATCTATGCATCATCCCTACTCCAACTAGATTTTTTAATCCACATAAAAATTTGGAAAATTTTTTATTTCCCTTGAATACACCCAATGTATACCAGGTGTTGAGATCAGCAACAGAGAAGGGGTGGGGGATGGATCTTGCTTGGACACTCCAATAGTTACGGCAATTAAAAAAAGATAATAGATTTTACTCAATTATCCATTTGGGCATTTACTAAATTAGTCTTGTTGACTATTTTGCTAACCAATTAAAAACAAAACAAAGTATGTCAAAGAAATTTATTAGAACATGAGATGTTACAATATGTATACACTACTTGTGTTAATTACAAAAGTAACACACATAAATTAGTTCTCATTTTACTATAAAAAAAAAAAACTGTACAGCACCCAAAAAATAAGCAGAATAAATTATTGCAGTTTTTTTCTTACAGATTTGTATCACAACCAAGCTCACACATTTTGTACACACTTTATCTTGATTTATCATGAGTAAAAAATAGACCTTATTGAAAATTTTCAATTTTGTTGAGGTTTATTTGAAACAGAGAAATGTCCTATTACCAAATGTGTTCATTCTTAACTTATGATACAACAGCCTACATTCAAGTTGACCCAAGTAAAAGAATGACCAGTATAATCAAGAATACCATCATGGAAGTGGTAATAAAATACTGAACTTTTCTGTAAAAATAAAGAACCCAAAAAAATGAACATAGTACCGGTATAATGAAAATTATGCTGTTGAAAGTATTTATAAAAATTTGGCACTTCTAATTAAGTTATACTATCATAGTATCAACTATCATTCAATTATAGAATAGCAAGTTAAAAAAAAAGCTTTTATAAAACAAGCAACTAAAAAAATAATCCATGCATCAGTCATAACCTTTAAGATACACTTACCTGGAGCAAGAGCCCCCCAAGCAACCCTCATAATGACTAGCAACAATTTTAACACATCCTCTCTAGAACTACAACTATTATATACACAGAACTGCACAGTAAATATGCAACATATTTAGTTAAAGCTATTTCAGTGGAAAGAACCCATCCAGGAAATTTGTTCAGTTTTTTAACTACTGTTATATTTGCAGCCCCTCTCCCAATAAATTCATAACCATGGCCCAGGGTAATGCTTTATAGTTGTGCACATATATTTTAATATTATTAATAAAATAATAAAACATCATATTTTTAGACTCAGTCCTATGATAAATATTTTAATATTCAAAAACTGTTAAACTTTATTTAACTTAACAATATCAATACACGTATGCCGGTAAAAAATATAGTCATTCATATTGTGTTTATATTTTTTTTTCTGAGGACAGCACCACAAAATGTTGAGGTGCGATAAAAAAAAAATGACACTTGAAGTCTAAATTAACAAATACACAAGACCAATAATGCAACATGTAACAAGAAGACCAATTTGAAGACCAAATTTTAACAGGAACAACTTTTTTTTAACAAGTTCATAACATGTGTAACTAATAGCTGTAACCAAATGTTACTCTGAACCTTAAGAAATTTTGAAACAACAAAAGCAATCATTTTCAGCTCATTAGTGCAGAATTTTAATATTCCACATTTACAATATCAGAGTTTGAAATAAGTTTTTTTTTTACAATAATAAATAATAGTATTAAAACAGATCATGGCCAGAGCAGACTGTTATATGAAGAAGAAACCATGATTTATGTTAAAAATGCAAGCTTATAAGACAAAGGAACAGTATCAGATATTACACTTTGAAGGGTTATTATAGTATGAGGTGGAGTGTCAAGGATTGTAAACTTTTTACTTTATCTAGACTAAGTATAAATAGTCAAACACTGAGAAAGGGTATTAAAAATTAGCTTGTAGGATTGTTTGTTAACCTTAGTAGCAGTGACTGCTTTATAATAATAAAATGAAGACATGAAGTTTCAGACAAAAAGTTTATGATTATTAACTTTCTTTTAGATTACAGTTTAACACCAAAAAAAAAAAAAAAGCTTAAGTATCACAGATAGTGGACTAACATGCTACTTCACTGTCCAACTGCATTTCCCTGACAGAACTTGAATCTCTTTCAAAGGGTATTTGATCTTGTGATTGTCCTGCTATGGATGAATTGTTAGCATCTGCACTGCTGGAGCTTTGATTGTCCGCAGTCTCCTGCGGATTGTGGGTCTCGGCAGCCACAGCTTTTAGTTCTAATAAATCAATGGCAGCCTCAATGTATCTAACAGCTTGCCGTCTTGCTTGCCTGACATTCTCCAGGTCTCCGGCATCAACAGAGTCCAGTTTGAGGAGATTCCTGGTCAGCATTTCTTCTATGTATCGATACTGTTTGTCTTTTTTAACGCCTTGAAAAGAATTTACCTCCCCCTCTAGCGACTTGACTGCACTCATTACACCGTTAATTATCTCAAAAGCTCTTTCCTCTTGGCTTTTTGGAGGCTGCTGTGGGGTGACATCAGAATCAGGTTGTGTTGAAGTAGCCGACTGTTGCTGTGGTTGTGAGTGAGCAGAGGGCCGAGGTGGAGATTCATAATCTGGTTTAGGTTCTTGTGAGCGCTGTTGAGGCATTTGTGCTGAGAGAGGAATAGCCTGTGAGAAATCTGGATGTGGGCTGCCTCTGCTTGGACTGGGTCCCCTGTTTACTTCATGAATGATTGGGATATTGATCGGTTGTTGTCCCATCTGTTGTTGACTGGGAGCACTGGGCTGATTAGGCTGTTGTTGGTACTGCTGATACATAGGCAGCTGCGTAGGCTGCTGATGTTGTTGTTGTTGTGGACGAGCTGATGATGGAGTATTGCTTGAGCCAACATGCTGAATAGGAATCTCCCAAACATCACCACGCTTTTTGGGTTGATTACTGTTCTGCGAGGAACCACCATATTGAGTGGGGTATGGGTAGTTTAAGTTATGGTTGCCTGTGTGATGATATTGCTGTTGTTCTGGTTGGGAAGTTCGTGGTGGTTCAGGTCCAGGTTCGTAATGAACTGGTATTTCAACAGTTCTGCCTTCAGGAGCGAATCTGCCAGCATATGGGTAATGAAGTGGTCCCTGAATTTAGAAAGTACAATTTTATAAGACAACTAAATAAATATATTGCTCAAATACTAATTTTGCACATTAAAATTAAATACTTTAGGATTAAGTTTAAACTTTCTCACATTACATTAGTCCTATTTTATAATGTTATATTAATTGAACAATCAAGCCTATAGGCCTGGGTAGTCATATTAGTAAAATAATAAACTATTAAAAATCAGCTTAATAGGCCTGTTATAAATAATAAATAGGCTTATAGGCTAGATCTATTCTAAGTCTAGGTCTATATTTAATTACTTAAATAATTAATTAATAATTAATTAGGCCTAGATGTCAATTAGGGATATTTTGTTATAATCATTGATCTGTAACTTACAAATACAAATACAGGAAAAGGGGGGAGGCTATTAATTTTTTTTTAGTAAGACTGTAAGAAGACTTATTATAATTAATTATAATATTTCAAGTTGAAGTAGGCATAAATAACAAACTAATTAATTAACTCTAATAGTAGTTAGATCTAGTAGGCCTAATTAATACAATAATAGTCAAGTAAATGGCCCAATACACAATATCACAATCAATAGGCATAGTCTATAGTCATAGTAATGATAGTACTCATAGTCTATTAAAAAATTAATAGTAGGCCCTGCCCCAGGCCTAATTAAATTGTTATTTGTTTTCTTTTGAAACCAGTCTAATAACTTAATTAGCATAGTGGCCATATAGATCTAATAGCAATAATGTCTAATATGGATATGTCCTTTAGTACTAGATTTAGATCTAGGCCTATAGTTCTAGAATTATTTAATGTTTGAGTTATGACTTAAATGACCTGTAATATGAATTTTAAATTGAATTAAATTAGGCTGGTTTTTTTTTTTACTCACCATCATCGAAATTCGCGGATCTTGCCAAGTAGTATTCTTCGTATTGTGGTCTATGAAGTAGGGCCAACCTGAGTTATTATCGTATCTCATTTCCCAGCCTGGTGGTAGTGGATCGTTTCTTGCCTGTGTATGGTTATATTGCATCGGATAAAATTGCCGATCTGACATTCTTGGGTTCTAATATAGAGGAAAACTTTATTCTGGAAATATCGGACCGGGAAGCTTCCGGATTCAGTGTTGGCTACCGAGACTTTTCTTGAAGCTTCCTACTAAGGGAAGTAACTTTAAATAAAAGTAATCTGTGTTAGGCCCTATGATATTAAATACAGTAACTCAGTAGGCATAACTATTAACTAAGTCTAGAATCTAGATCTAGAATCTAAATCTAGACCTAGTCTAGATAGATCTAGACAAGATTTAACTTCTAGAATCTAGGGGATGGAATTTCTTTGCCTAGTTCATGATGAATTTTGATTCGCTTTTCAAAAACGCAGGCAAAATAAAAACTTGAAGGGCCTGGCCTAATGTAATAAAATAATAAATTAAAAATTAATTATTAATAATAGGCCCTATTTTTAGTATTTTATTAATTTAGGCCTAATTTAATAAAAATATATTTAAATATTAAATTATGCCCTTATTTTATTAAAAATATATAAGTTTGTGTCTCATTGAGTTAACTGAACTGTTAACTCAATGAGACACAAACTTATTTTATTAATAATTAATAATCTAGATTCTAGAATAGATCTACTAAATACTAATAATTGTACTAATATTTCCTTAGATTATACTACCTTTCTAATCTATCCATAATCCATATATAAGCAATTTGTGTGTGTCTGTCTTTTATGCATTACTACACCTTTCATCTGATCGCCATGAAACTTTGGGAAGTTGTTTAATGTTCAGAATACTCCTGGGGAGGTATCTGCAATTCAATTCTTCTCTATATCTATACATTATACAGTATATAAAAACAAAAGTCAATTGACTTTTTTTAACCCTTCATCCGATCGCCATGAAACTGGGGCGTTGATTAGAACACTCCAGGGGAGGTTCCTGCAAAAAATCATTTTAAATTTCGCAAGAGGCGGCATCCCAGGAGATTGCGATTTTTATATATATAGAGCTCCAACCCTGTTTGTTTACAATTATTTCTAGTGCTGAGTTTAAAGAGTTCATAAAAGGATCACACTGGCAACTATTGATAGCCAACAAATAAAGAAGTATCAAGGAACAATCAGTTAACTGAGGACATAGACAAGTTTAGAAGATGTATAGGAAAACATTAAAAAAGATCTACAATTTTGCTTTTAAATTTAATTCTACTTCAGCTGCTGGAAAATTTCAGTGACTCTACATTCACAAAGTATAGATATTAAAACTATTAACAGCCTTAAGGTTTCCTTTTGTAATCAACACTGTTCTTAAATATTTAGAAACAATTGTGTATTTTTAACATGAACATTTACATTAATTTGGTCTCCTGCCATCGACTGGGTTCCTACCTGAAGCTTCCAGGGTCCCCATGACTATCGCAGCACTCCTTAATGGGGCGATATCGCCCACTCTGGGAAATACTGATTTATAAGGAAGTTTTCAACCCATCATCATCAAGTTTCAGAAGGAAGTTCTATCAGATGCTGAAGTCAAAAAACCACTTCTCACATCATTTAATGAAAAAGTTTCCAAATATAACCTAATTTTCACACACCATCAACATTCAGCTAACCCAGGGGTATCCAAACTTTTCAGTCCGAGGGCCGCATTAACTATCAAATTTCAGTTCGGGGGCCAGTTTCTTCCAGGCATGTCTTTGATTTTTCTGCGCAAAGTTCCTCAGCCATCACCAACAAACGTGGACAAAAAGATCTCCGCGGGCCAGATGAGAAGACCTCGCGGGCCGCATCCGGCCCGCGGGCCATAGTTTGGAGACCCCTGAGCTAAACCATTCTATAAATTAACAATTAAACAAAAAACAACGCAGCAACAAAAAAAAAGAACCTATTTTAATAAACACTTGAATCAATAAAGACAACGATCAATTTCTTTAGTACAATGGTGAGCTCTCTGAATAAATCAAACCCATATCAGTATACTAACATAAAACAGAAACCCATCAGGCAAAAAACTAGCAACAAAGCTCAGTTATGCACACACTACACCACACAAATGTTTTTTTTTTTAAAAACAAGTAGTCTGATCCTTGTCAGTGAAATTCAAGAAACATCAAAGTCTTTAAAAAAATAATTAGGTAATGCCTTAGGACAAAAAGAAATCTTATTAACACAATAATAAACTGAATTTTTTTTAACTAATTATTTTTCTGGTCGGTCACGTTTTTAAGTAACTTATACTATTACATATAGCCCTTTAATAAGTAAAGATGCTTGAATGATTTATCATAAAACCATAGACTATGTAAGGAATTGTTTTAAAAAAACAGTAATAAAATTATGTATCATTAGTTCTGTTTTTTAAGTTAGTAAAATTAGGCTCCATTGAGTAGAACAAACAGAATCTGCTGTCATATTAAATATATATAGTATTAAACAGGCTGACAAACTAATTTTTAAAAAATGAATTAGTTAATTGCTTATTTACTTTAACATGAGCTTGTTTTTACTTAATTGAGAACTGGGATTAAGAATGGTTCTTTACATGAGCGGCAATGTGAAATGGGACGTAACAAACAAAGCTGATTCTAAATCATCTTTTAGGTGTACAGTTTAAGCGGCGGTACCTTATTGGATTGACCACTAAAAATTAACACCATAGGAATTTTTTTTTTTCTAGAGATGTTAGCAATGTAGTTATAGCAGGAATATATTTAAATAGTACACAATTTTTAAAATCGTACATTATTTGCTTTTAACCATTTATTCTAGCTGGTATCCATGGCCATTATTTCCTGCCCAGTAGACATGGCATCTTTCTGAATGGCCTCGTACATGGCGGCTAGCTCGGGTGTTGCCTTGATATGGCTCATGAAGTCATTCATTTGAGGACTCTTGTCTGAAACAGGACATGCAACTCCGGTCAGCGAAAGAAAATTTTCTCTTTAAAATAACGCTAAAAAAAAAAAAAAAAAGCCTCCCTAATGGGATAGCATGATCGAATGGTAGAGCATTTTAACAGTGTAAAGTCTTTCATTCCAGGATGTTTGTGAGTCCACCCAGCTCTGGTGGGTACCCAACGTTGGTTAGACTAAAGAAGCTAAATGTAGCTGGGAATAGAATTGACCACACTATCCTATTATGCGAGAGGTCTCAGAAACATGTGGAATTACTTCCCCTGCCTTATCAAATATCAGGTCCAATTCTGTAAATTGTTTAACCATAGCTGTAGCCCTGGGCTCCTTACATTAAGCCAACGAAGCAATGCATGCTATCTCAATGTCTATAACAACAACTTTTGCAAATTTTGCTACTTATGTTGAGATGGTTTTTAAGTGTTTTTCAACTATAACTATAATTGTAACAATACACAGAATCATTAAATACTTTAAAAAGTATAAACAGCAGCTCTACCTAATACACATACACACATGTGTAAAGTATATGACTTACCAGCATCTGCAATATTTAGTAAGGCAACAACAGCTCTTAATGCAGACCGTTTCAGCTCTTCCTGCTTCTCATATTCTTGCTTGACTGAGTGGGCTTTTACTTTAGTGGTGCATGTCGCTCTAATTGGCTCAACTAAACGATCTAGTCCTATAGGTCCATGTATAAAAAAGGAAATTTAAGTCTGATTTTTAAAAAAAAATTAAATGTTCCTCTCTCTAACTGAATATCTTTTATACCATAGTATTAAAATGTAAAATCATGAATATGTGTTTATTTTGTTGCTCATCTGCTACTGAAGAGTGGTGACAAAATAAAAAAACAGCCAACATTAAGTTTCTAACATTACTTTTTAAAATGCAAAACAGGCAACATTTGGCTTAGCTGTGTAAAAATTACCTCAAATTTAAGAAAGATTATTACGTTTTAAAAAACTAGAAACAACTTTTTGGAGGGGGGGGGGGGGGTTGAAATCATTTTTAAAACGTGTGACATTGTTTATGAAGAGCTTGCAGAAGTATGTAATAAAATGACTATGCAGTAAATAATTTGATTTTTAATTAATTAATTAATTAAAAAGTCAATCAAAAGCATCTCAGTAACAGACAAAAGACTCACTCTGTAAAACCGCTGATGGACAAAGATGTGATAGCCTGACAAGCATTAAGTAAGTCAGCATCTTGATATCATAATGGTCTTTCAAACCATCCTCCACATGATTCAAGAACTCAAAGATGTCCAGGCGATCTAAGCATGAATCCAGTAAGGTGTACATACACTCAAAGGCAGCCTAATCAAAGAAAACATTTTTATTAGATTAAATTTGAAGCTTTTAATTTTATCCAAGAAAGCAACTTGAATAGTATTTTATTAAGAAATATAATTCTCTTGTCAAAAACAAGTTCAGTAACTAAATCTTCTTCTCACCTTTCTAATGTCCAAACCATCATCAAGGGTGTGTTTAAAAGGACCCATCTCTACTTCTCGAATAAGCTCTTTCTGAAGAAAAAAAAAACATTTCAAGGTTTATTGCTTCTCCTATTGGTGTAAATAACTATTCCTTCTTGAGTTTAGGATAATATTTGTTGACAATAATCATATAATGTCAAATATTTACAAAATTTAAAACAAAAAGTTGCAAAACGATGTGACTACAGCTCAACTTACCTGATGTCAAGTAATTAATAGAGAGAAATATTGGGGGGGGGGGGGGGGGGGGGGGGAAGCTCAACTTACCCTAACTTTGGTTTCGTTGTACAAGTGGGGTAAAACTGTCTCTAGCAAATCTCTAATGAGGGATGGCTTGTTATGTGCAGCTGAGTTGAATGTCACCAACGCTACTCGACGAACTGTAAGGTCTTCATCTTGAAGTGTGCGCAAGAAATCACCAATGCACATTTTTAGAAGTGGATCAATGGGTTGTGGCTGAAAGTGCGATCCATGTTTGGAAATAAATCATAAGTCATTAAGAAATAATAATCGAATTAATTAAAAGTCAATGAGTACATATTAATTAAGCATTTTTGTAGAAAATGTACAGTTGCAAAAGAAATGAAAGAAAGTCACAAAATCAACAGAATTTTTTTCAAACATAGTGCCATCATTAAAAGGATTATGATTTTTAAAAAGCTATATCCAGTGGTCTAATCGACAATGAATTCTAACTTATCATATCCATAAAATTTTTATTTATTTTATACATATTTGTAACAAGTACTTTGAAGTAAAGTATAGTTAATTTACTTAATGACTAGTTAAATAAAAAGAACAATTATGGTTTTCAAAGTATGAACGTAAGTATACTTGCCTGATCAGATATTGTAAACTTTATGGCTGTAACTACCGTGCTGCGAGCTAGTGGTGAAGCATCATTTAAATGCTGTTGTAAACTACCAATCAGATTATGGGGGTCGACCAATGTCAGTTTACCCATACATTCAGAGACCACGTTTCTTGTACCTTCCTCTGGACACTCGCAGTTGTGGAACAACATGGTCCTGCATGTACATAGAACCTGTTAGTGTGTACAGAGTTAACTAACCTGGACAGTTAACTACCCTTTCAGACCTGATGATTTTTTTACCATGGGATTGTATGGCCAGAACTAAACCCACTAGACTTTTACATTCATTGCCTTGAATCAGGTACTTATCAGTGCTGGGTGAACTTAGTGACAACTTCTAGACACAAGCATAGAAATTTAACTCTAAATTTGGGGTATGCAACTGGATGGTCTGCTTTTCCATTTTGATTTTAAGAATTCATTCAGATGTTTATTTCCTTAAGCTGTATAAAATTTTCTATAAAATAGATAGTAGTAATTATAGGTATAGTATCTGAATTCAATCAACTAAGTATTGTAGAAAATGTAGGTTTTGTATAACAATAAAAGTGCAAAAAATTTCCTAACGAGTTACCTACCAAATAGTTTTTACATAAGATTTAAGGATCTCAAGGCCAGATTGAGAACTGGATTCACAATTAATTATCTGGGGATGATTAGTAAAGACATTTATTAAGAAATTTAAAACTAGCATTAAAATTTCAGGTTGGGAAATAAATAAAATTTAAGTTTATTTTAATTATAATTAAAATTCCTCATTATTTATTTTTATTATTGAGGTAAATGGTTTATTTGTGACTGGGACATATTAGGTGCAAAATTTGTTCAATTCCATTAGGTACCTCACACAAAGAACCCATCTTTCTCAGTTAAAACAAAAATCTGGCACCATACATACAATTTTTTTTTAGTCTCACAATTAAGTTTATAATGAGATTCAGTAAGACATGTAAAGTTTTCATTCATCCTAGAGGGAGCCTTACTTTATGGAAAGATTTGAATCTAATATACAGCTTCACAGAAGTCATGATGCTCTTCAAATTAAAATTTCCTTATACTTCATTATAACTTTAAGCACAAGAGAATTTAGCTGAATTCAAAGTGTAGGAAAATATGTTATAAAACCAAATGATTTAACTGTTGCTTAAAAAAAAAACAGCTTACTTCTTTAAGAGAATGAAGTAACAAATATTGTCTTTTTGGCTGGCCCTCAATTTCTTGCAAGACAAAAGGTAAAAACTTGGGAAGGTTTCCAACACTCACATTACCTGGTACAGTGGGAGGAAAGAGTCATTAGTGAGACCATTCTTACATTATTTGACAGTAAAGTAATTAGTGTAATGTGGTTAAACATCAGCTCATCAATACCTGTGTCAGCACTTTAACAACAATCCAAATATCAATCCATTAAAATTGAGAGGTAAAGCTAGTGTTTGTATTTACTAATCTAAAAATAAATACAATAAAATTAAATAATTTAATGAATAGTGTAAACACAGTAAATAAACCTAACATACCAAGAGCATAGGATGCGGCAGATTTCACTTCTTCATTAGGGGATGAGAAACATTCCAAAATCACATTTTGTATGTCACCATGAGGACTAAGATCACTGGAGGAAAATGACTTTACTCATTTATTTGCAACGAGATATATTGTGTTAATAGTGAACATTAAAATAAATATGAAATGAATGTCCTTTTGTTTTAAATTATAAATGTATGTATTATTCTGATATAACTAAATTTTTAAATTAACCAGTGTTTTTGTAACACAGGTGAGGGGCAAGTTTGTTATTTCAAAAATAATGTAAATAAATGTAATGAACAATTAATAATAAATTGCATGACATTACATAAAAGTAATATTTTGACTCGATAATAATTAATTAAAATCAACAGAGTATATAAAGGAATTCAAATAATCAAAACCAATGAAAACAACATTAATTTTAAAATGATATTAATATATTTACAACCATGATAAGTTATGGTTGTAAACTGATTGATTTCTTACATATTTTTCCCAATTTCTCCCAGGGCCAACAAGGAGAATAAAACAATGTGTTCAGTAGATTTGGGGTTTTTGATGTCACTAACAAACTGTGAGACAACATTGGAGGCCTCCATGGGGCTCATCTCAGTTAGAGCTGCAACACATCTTGCAATGGAGTGGTAGGCCTGGCAACAAGCAATCATTCAATGATAGAACATTGTTACTAACAAACAAAAAAAAATTGTTCTAGAACTGGGGTTCTTATCCTTTTTGGAGACACCGAAGCCCACTAGTTTTGTATGTGCATTCACTGAACCCTTTTTAATGGTTCTGATAAAATCTGATTGTGAATCATAGGAGTCGGGTGTGTCTTGACCTCCAACGAACTCCTGAGACGGACTCCCTGAACACAGGTTAAGAACCCCTGTTCTAGAATCAAATAATGATAGTGCACATAGATTATACTACAATTTAGGAATAATTTTCTTTGGTTCTTCATATAATCCGATAAAGTAACTACATTGATAAAAAAAATTTAAAACTAAACTATTCATAATTATTTGAATTAACTATTGACTGTTCTCATTTACTGATGATTAATTATCTCAAGGTCCGTACATCTTTTTAAAAATGAAATTCTAGATTTTTTTCCAGACTGAGAACAAAACCTGTAATTTTTGACTGTTAATGAGTTAACAATTTTAAGCTAATGTTGATTTAATAATCTTAACTATTAATGATTATTGACCTCACCTGTCTGTGGATAGGACCACTGGTCAGTCTTGTGTCATAGACAGGCAGTATCAACATCTGTCAATGAGGATAACAAAAATTATATTCCCCGCTTTGTTTTATTTTAAAATTCATATGAGCTATCCACATAAAGATTAACCCAGTAATGTAAACCTTTTTTTTATACCTGCAGCAAATCCCTGAATCCAAGTTTAGGCAAACCAAGAGCAATAAGGGCTTTGAAAAAATCTAGCACCGCCCCTAGGGCACCACCCTGAAGAAGCGGGGACTGGACCAGGATCAAGATCTGAGGCAGGATCTCAGCCTGGATGTTGGAAATGGACTGCTTGTGACCCCTAGAGATAGTTGTCAGCAGGTTCAAGGTCAGCTATGGCACAGAAGAAAAATATGAATGTCAAGTTAAAAATTTTATAGGATACAAGTCCAAAGGTTTGAAAGGCTAATGATGTCTAATTAACCAATCCATGAAGTAAAATTACAAAAAATAACCAAAACTTGGAATTTTGTGTTTAAAATATGTTTATACCTGTGAAATGTGCAAATCATTTTCATTGATAAGTGGGGGCATCTCTTTCATAACATCTGCCAGCATATTTGCATTAACTGCCACACCTAAAAGATTATAAAAAATATACTAGAAATAACTGACTTACTAATAATGAAGATTAGAAATAAAAAACTGAAAAAAAGGGCTAGTCTTGGGTCTATAATAAAAAGATATTAAAATACTAGTTCAATTGATAATATGGAATCACTTCTTTTTGGACATTACATTCCAATGGACTTTATTACACATTTTTTTAAATGTGCGATTTAACTTAAGCAAACAGGTTGCAGGAATGTAAAGTTATCTATTTTCAACATAACACACTTAAGAAAACATAATAATGGAAAATGTCAATTGATTGACTTTAACTTTAAAAATTACACACTTTTCAATGATATAGCTGATTAAACTTTGGCTATTAATTTACATTAACTGTCATTTATTTTCTGCCGCAACTTTTAAATAAAAATTATAAATAATTTAAGGATTGGGACTTCGTTCTTGTAAGTTTTATAATTTTATTACCATAGTTTTTCACAACAACATCCAGACACTGTAAAGTGCTAAGTTTTAATGCTCGCTGATTTTTCCTTAAAAATGATGCTAAAATTGGAAAGCCTTCTTCCTGTTCAAATTAAAACAATTTGAAAATATTAGATAAGTTTAAACCCTAAAATAGTGCATTTATTTCAAAACTAAGATACAGTTAAAATTTTTGTTTACTTTATAAAACTGAGTAAAATTTATTAAAATACCTACCAGAATAAATCGAATGTCAATATTTAATGGAGATCTGTTTATAGGAGAAAAAAGAAGTCAAGGAAAATTTAATATTTATAAACAATACTTTTGTTTTTAATATAATTTTTTTTCAATTTAAAATATTAAAAAACATTTTTTTCTGTAGCTTTTTTTTACAGAAAACATAAAAGTAAACTCACTGTGCGATCAGTGTTAATGCTTTAACAGTTGTTAGTCGAGTTATTTCATTCTTTAGGCGCTCCAGGAATATTGGCAGACATTCCTTTAATTCTGACTGAAGGCAATCTCCAAGATTAGCAACTATTTGACCCCTGAAAAAAAGGAAAATTTAAATGCCTATAGGTAAACCTTTTTCCATTACTTAAGATTATGGTACCAACATGAAAGTTTGAGCTAAAAAAATTCAACTTTAAAATTTTTAATAAAAAGTAATACATGAAAAACTTGTATCATTTTACATTATGGCATATAAAGTTTTGTCCCCAATATATGTCATGGTTTGCAGAAAAATATCTACACAAACATGTAAGTCTAAGAGCAACAAGATGACTTACATGCAGGCTATCGCTCTCTCCTTGACCTCCTGGTCAATGTCAGCAGCTTTCAAACGTTTAACAGTGCAGGCATACAAACTCTTAACATACGGCTGGTAATCAAAGTTGGACTTTTGATCTGCACAAAAATGTGTTTCAAAATATTATGAACAACTTGAGGCCAGTAGTCCTTCAGGTTAGTGTGAAATTACACTAAGGTTTTCACTATTTAATGGGTTAACTAAGTTCAAAAGGCAGGGGCAAGTTACTGATTCAAGATGGGAAAAAGAAACATAGCATGAACAAGCCCTGACCTCAAATAACCAGGTGAACCTCATTTTAAATCTGTACCAGTAGATTGTTCAATTTTATTTACTTTTAATACTTTTTACTTCCAATAATTTGGATAATATCAAACCACATTTTTACAGTACACTTACCTAAAGGTCTTAAAACTTTAACCAACTGTTGTGTCACAAGAAGAGCTTCAGATGTTATCTTGTAGAAAGGATCACCCACAGCGTTCACTATTGGCTACATGACAATGAAAGAGTTGCCACAACTAAATAACTAGCTTTCTCGTCAACGTAATAAATTTAAACTGAAAATTAAAATATTAACAGCCGAGAAGATATTTACAATTGTTGAATTGATTATTTGTCCAGAGATCAGTTAAAGTAACCTTTAATCCTAATCTTGATGTACGCAGATTTCTGAAGAGAATACTCTTTATATAACCTATACAGTTATACCTGCTTTGGCTTTGCTCATTAGCCAGGTAGACTTGAACAGGGTAAGAATCAAGTATTTTTCTCACCCATGTTACCAGCCATTAGAAACATGATTTCTGCCAGGATTTTACTTCTTAGCAGTTTGGTCAGGGGGACAACTATAGTCTCCTGATTCCAAAGTAATGACCATTGGGTTAGCATATGCGTGATCTACAGCTAGACCACACCGTCCCCTTAAGATTAGTGTACTAAGAAACTGTCTCTTAAGCGCTGTTTGATTAAATCAGAATGTGAATATAAAAAAACCCACTTAAAATTAGATAGCTTATTAAGTAGCATTAGTGTTGTGAATGGACTTTCGTGTATGGAATGAGTTTGAGAGTACGTGTGTGGTTGAACGGGGTTAATAAAGTTGTCGATGGTTTGAGAGTATGTGTGTAGTGGTATTAATAAAAGATTATGAATGCGTAAAAAAGGAAATAAAGATGTGACGTAGGGGGGAATGTTTTGGTAGTTAGGAAGAGAGTTGAAGGGAGTATTAGTCTTGTTGTTGTCATGTGAGGATGTCTAGAAGTCGTCGTCCCGTCTATCGTCAATGTGGCTGTATATATTGTATATAATAAAAGATAGAACTATCGTATCGTCGTTCTGTATTCTCTATTGGATAGTCGTCCTATATTGTTCAACGTTCAGCATCAACCCTGTACAGAAACTCGCTTTACAACAATTAGGTCTGGTCATACTTACAGGTACCAAGGCCTTGATGTGGGGGTGAAACACAAGGTGGCTGTGGTTGCTCAGCAAGGTGTTGAGGAAAGACAGGGTGTCAATTTTCATGTTGGAGCTGGAGTTTTTATCACCGAGGGAGTACTGGATCCCAGGCATCAGGCTGGTCAGGTGCTGGTCCAGTGCACCAGGTAACACCAGGACCAGCTCGGTGAGGAGGCTGAAGCAGCCCTGTCTGGTCTTAATGCTTTTTTCTTTTAGCTGGCGGTGGACTGCTTTAACTATGTCTGGGATTTGAGCTTGAAGCATGTTTAGAGGTCTGGAATAAATATCATTTTTTTTTTATTTTAAAAAAAAAAACAGTTGTTTGGGATGATTAAAAAAGTAAAGTTCCCTTTTCAAACCTGACGGTCTATAGGGCAAGTGAACTAGAGTTCACTTGTTTCTGTGACCTTGGCATATGAAGAGATAGTGTGGTCAGCACTATGCCATAAATAATTTTTTAAATTAAAAAAACAAACAGTTGTTTGGGATGATTAAAAAAGTAAAGTTCCCTTTTCAAACCTGACGGTCTATAGGGCAAGTGAAGTAGAGTTCACTTGTTTCTGTGACCTTGGCATATGAAGAGATAGTGTGGTCAGCACTATACCCAGCCGCCTTTACTTTCCCTAACATGAGTTAGGTACCCATCAGAGTTGGGTGGACTCAGGGACGGTCTACTGCCTTGAACCCGGTTTCGAACTTGTTGGGATGATTAGCCAAAGTTAAATTGAGTTGGTTTTTTTAAATTAATGCAGAAAAGAAAACTATTTTGACCATTATCCGACAGTCAACTGTTTGTACTGACCCTTCCTCTTCTTCAATGTTGTCTACACCAGCAACTGTCACAGGGCGTGTTTGTTTCAACAAAGCAATGTAAGCATGAAAAATGTCAGACTTCACATTCTCCTCACGCTCTGTGAAAAAATTACAGCAGTTCTTACAAATACACACAGTAGATAACAAATGCCAGCCAACATGATATTTCATTCATTTACAAATTTGTATTAGAGGATTAATTTTTTTAGTTTTTGTTGTCACTCAAAGGGTGGTGAGCTTAATGCATAATAAAATTTATCACTGAACTGGAATATTAATGACAAACATGTTAGTTGGACACAGGTCACACATTTTTAAAAGTAAAAAGTCAGGTTCCCTTTTCAAACCTGACAGTCCATGGGGCAAGTGAAGTAGAGTTCACCTGTTTCTGTGACCTCAGCATATGAAGGAATAGCTGGGTGGACTCAGGGACATTCTACCGACTTTAAACCCAAATTTCAAACTCGAGACTTTCGGTTTAGCAGTCTAGTGCTCTACCGCTAGGCCACATGGTCCCATTAGTTGGTTTTATTTTGCCAGACATCATTCTGTCTCACACAATTTACTAGCGATAAACTTTTACCTGAATAATGTCAAAAGACTGAGTTTGAAATGCTCTTAACCTTACCTTTAAATCTTGTTATGAGAGCAGGGGACACTGTCTTATAAAATTCTGGCAGCATGTCATGTCGAGTGCTGACCACAGCTTCTAGACACTTGGCAGCTGACCTCCTGACCTTCCAGCTCATGTCATCATCATCACTGTACTCATCTTCAGTTTCCCTTTTATTTAAAGACATCAGTAATATACTATGTGACTAAAATAATAACAAATAATATAGGAAGCAAAGCCAGTGAACAGACAAATTAGATTTATTTGCAATACAAAATATAAGATCAGGATAAGTTTATCAGAACTTCTGAACTTTTTCTGTTATTAAGTTCACTTAGTCAAAAGATTGCAACATCTAAAAATATTTGACATCAACTTACTCATCATCCTCTTCATCCTGTACATCAGTGTCCATGTCTTCATCATCATCATCATCATAGTTATAGTTTGGATCATGACATACATACTTCAGACAAATGCTGATGATCTGGCAACGATTCAAAAATGATAGGTTTCATAAAATGTGTAGAGCCTATTAGTAATACCAGAAATAAACACAAATCAAATTTTTAAAAACTATCATCAGCAAACACTTTTACGGCAACCAAAAAATAAATCCTTTTATCTTAGTTTTGGATTATTCTTTTAAAAGCATGATATTTTGTTTTAAAATATATCCTATACCAAGTTGCTACATTTTTAAAATGCAACTTGAACTGATACTGCCAATTTCGCAATATTCACTAGATTTACATCCCACTTACATCAGGAATAAAGTTGGATACTTCTTTTGGGCACCTGCGCACAAAAGATTCAAAGGCTTGCAGACAAAACTCTGTCAGTTCATCATCATCAGTTTTACAAAATTTTACTATCAGTGGCACCATCTTGTCGAGATACTCTCCAAATCTGCCACCTGCTTGACGGCTGTTTGTTAAACAAAAGTTTGCAATACAACTGAGTAAAACAATTTCAACATTTGTGAAAAATCACAAAACAATGGAATAATAATGATTCTACTTGGTCAAAAAAAAAGAAGAGGAAATCTAATCTTCATAATTCAATGTTATATCCCTTACAGAATATTGTGGATTTGTTATGTAATCAAGGGCCAGTTTTTCAGTTACTAATAGAAATTTTATTAGCTAATTTTCTTGACTATATAAACACGAAATAGTATGAGATGTGAGCAATATTCAAATATATTTTAAATGTACACACCTAATAGCTCCAACACACTGAATATAGGTGCGTGTAGTTGATGTTGATGAGTTTTTGGTGAGTTCAATCAACAAATATTCAATAAGCTCATGAAACAAAGATGTACTACAGCTCATAACAAGATGACCTGTGAAAACATTATATAAAATGCAATTTTACAAGAAACCACATAAATGTAGCCGGCTTTTTAAAGAATTATCTGATTAAGTAACATGTCTAACTGTAAAATTCAACATTCACTATTCTATATTTAATAAAAGATGTAACAGGTAGCTGACCTATTGCGATTATGGCCCTCTTTCTGACTGCCAACCTTGAACTAGCTAGCTGAGGGAGGAGAGCTTGTTTGATTGTGATGTGAAAGCTGATCAGCAATCCTTGAGGAATACATGCAAAAGTATCAATCCAGAATCAAACTAAAATTCAATTTTTTTACATTTTTTGATACAATATAAAAATAGTGTTGGTTAAAAAATTAAGTATCTAGCGAAGAACTTACCTCCAAAACGACTAAGCAAATCACCAAGAATGTCTAATGCTTCAAGCTGCACAGATACATCCTCTTGCTTTAAAACACAGAAAAATAGACATCTTTAAAAACCAAAACAAATTCTATAAGAGTATTAGTTCAAGGACTTGAACTTAAACACTTGTAAGAGATAAGAATCGATAAAATATGTGAAAAATATTTGGGGAAAATGTCTTTCAAAGCAAAAAATTAAACATTTTTCCACAATAATAATATTACTTAAATAGTTTTTTTTCACTTGACTTCCCACTTATACATGGAATGATCATGCCATTTAAGCCCTGATACTAGCCTGCATTTATATGCTTGCAGAACAATACCAAATATAATAAAGATAGTTCTAACCTTAGAAATAGCATTGGTGAGACGAGTTGTTATTTTTTTACAGATGCTAGCTGCCAAAGTGGTTGAGGAAGGGGGCAACTCAGTAATCACAGTCTTAAGGCCTGAAAGTTTTATCCATTTTACTTTTATTTAAAGGAACAATGTTTTACATCAATGCATTTATATTCTTTAAGCTATAAAAAAAAATCTTAAGTATAAGAAGCTGTATGCTTAATTAATCAATTATGTCTCAATATTTAAAATATATCACCCTAATAATATTTTTTTTAAATGTTAAAAGCAAAGAATGCAAAAAAATTAAGCAAAAAAAAAGGTAAATTCATCCTCCTATCTGATACTTGAACTAAAAATAAGAGTACAGAGAAAAAATTTGGTACCTACCTATGCTAGAGATATCTCTAAGTTGCTCTTTGTCTGACAACATATTGCTGCATAGTGTGTCTACAATAGTCTCTACTTGAAATTCCTTCACTTTGCTCACTAAAGGACCAAGACTGGATAAAAATACTAGTTCAAATCAGATCATATAAATACAATATAAAATCGATAGCAGCTCACCAAAGAATTTTTATCTAGTCAAGGATTAAATGAGTAATGCTGATTGTAATTATACAATATAATCTGCTATTATACGTTGAGAAACTTAAACTGGTTAACTACTCTAGTCATAGAATTTTAATTAACAAAACAATGAAATTAAGTACTAAATGTTTCAATTAGCAACTAACCATTTTACAGCCAAGTTCTGAACTTCACCATTTTTGTCTTCCAACAGTTTAAGTAACATTTTTACCACCTAATAGAAAGAAACAAAAACATATTTAAGTGTATAATGGTTCTGTCTTATTTCACTTTAAGCAATAAAAGTGTAGGCCCTAACATTGCTTTTTTAAAATAATTTTTTTGTAAATAAATTTATAAGTAGATAACTATCATAATTATATAGGCCTGCATCTTTTCCTTTACTGTAAAACTAGATTTAACATATTTTAAAATTACAAAATTTTTAAATGTACCTTCCGTTCACTGTCATCATCTAGTTTAATTGAATCCTTCTGCAATTCGGCCATTAAATCATTTGTGGCCATAAAGCGGAAGTCCTTGTCTGTGGACGTCATCTAAAAAACATTTAAGTAAAGGAAACTGTCATAGTGCTTTTTATCTCCAAAATTGTACCATTTGTAAAACATAATTATTTAGTGCTCAATTACTCAACATTTTTGGACGAAATAAGGAGATTTTTTTTTCTATCTATAGTCAGTAATAGTAAGCGTGTAAAATACTGTAAATATAGGCCTAGTTGCTGTAGGTATTGACTATATCTTGCAGAATCAATGTCATTTTTAGGCACCGACAAAACAAAATGCTACCCACATATAACATGTTAATAAGTGATAAAGGTAAGAACAATTATTCAACCCCCCCCCCCCCCCTCAAATCAGCTTTTCTCATAAACAGACGAACTGGAACACTCTGGAAATCAGCCTATTGCAGTCACTGAGTCACCATTGACAGTGATGCACCTTTATGTGTAAATAGGCCTACTTTCCTGAGGTTTACTTTACTTGCATATCAGATAGTGTTTACATTCTCTAGCAATAACAGATTGAAAGAATGATATAGTCTATTTTATCATATAACACTACGCAGTACGATAACAACAGATAATCATTATTCTGTTAGTCAGTGTTATTGTTCTCTGTTCTGGAATGCCAAATCAAATGGATTCATTAAAAATTTTAAAATGGCTCAGTGTACAATTAAAATGGTCTAAAAGTCTGAACATTTGGGATTATTTCACTTTAGAATGTGTGATGTTTATAAAGTAATATAAAGTTATGTTCGCACTGTGTACAGATAGTGTCTGCTCTAGATAGATTCGACCTAGATCTAGACGATATAGATTATAGTGACATTATAGACTAGATTCTCTAGATCTAGAAAATTGAATGTTCAATGTAAAGAGTGGGTTGAGACAGGTGAGTCGATATCTCTGGGATGTGGGTCGCAGGACCGGTCTGCTGGTGAGAAACTACATTAATAATATTCAGTTTCATAATCGATTTCTTATTATTGCAAACCTTCTCCAATAAATTTGCAATATGGTACGACACGCTGGCCATTTTGTGTCGATTTATTTTCTTCCCAAGTGAAGAAAACCATAAAACTAGAAGGTGTCTAGAACCGAAACTTAGATCTATCTGCTCGTTTCAAAACAGGAAGATCAGTAAGGGTCTGGCAGTGAACATGCGCATGAAAATGCTAGATCATTTGAGCATTTCGCTTTTTTGTTTTTTAATGTCTTTATTTTTTTTTGTATCGATTACGCCTACACTATACTTACTACGAACACACGCACGCACACACACACACAGAGTGGCGTAGCCAGGATCGTCTCAAGGGGGGGGGGGTTCCAATTTTTACCCGGGGACAAACTTTCGATTTGCACCCCCCTCAAAATTTCGATTTGCACCCCCCCCCTCATACTTAATATAAATACCGAGGGGTCATAACCCCCCTAACCCCCTGCCTACGCCACTGCACACACACACACACACACACACACACACATATATATATATATATATATATATATATATATATATATATATATATATATATATATATATATATATATATATATATATATATATATATATATATATATATATATGCAGGTAGAAAATGTAGAAATAATCATTTTATATTGAGGTCAGTCAAGAAATATTTTATTCTTTTTTTTTTTTTTGGTGAGCATTACTTGTACTTGTACTATTATAGTAGCTTTCTTGTTTGTTTGCTGTTGTTGTTTTTTTTTTAATTTATTTTTCTCACTTCAAACGCTTTTTATTAGGTACTGCCTATATTTTTATTTCTACATTTTGATAATAGATATATTGTAAACATGTAATTATAGTAAGTCGACATTAAGTTATTTTTTAAAATGTCTGTGTATAGGGCCTACACACTTTTCAAGCCCTCCCGTTAAAAGCTTTTGCTTTATACTCGATTTTTATTTTACGATGTTTATCATAGCCTATAGGTTCGAGGTTACTAACCGACACCCATCAAGATCATCCACAGATCTACGAAGACTCAAACTGCTAGGTTATTTCCCTTTTTTCAGTGAAAACCAGTGATGACAACAAGCAAGAACTCCCGTTTGAGACAATAAGGAAAGACTCTTTCGGAGATGGATTGCTTCACATATCTATAGGAAGTGTTATAAGCAACGATGGTAAGCAGATGAGGACATCAAAAGCTGCATCAGCAAGGTCAGGTACACATTCAACCCCCTCCGCACACTTTGGACGTTATGAGCATTGTCTATGCTTTCCAAAATACGACTGCTTAACTTTAACAGCAATGTTAAATGATTTATCTACGGTGCTGAGACGTCCAGAGAACAACACTAACTACTAATAATACTTCAGACTTTCGTGAACGGATGCCAGCGTTGGAAATGGAAAAAAAGTGGCGGGGTTAAACTTTTATTGGCTAAACATTGGTTACCAATATTGGCTATATCTTGGTGCAACATTGACTTAACCTTGGCCAAACATTGGTAGTGAAACTCGGCATGATATCGGCACAATATTGGCTATATCTTGGCACAATATTGGCTATATCTTGGCCGAAAATTGGCTATATCTAGGTCCAATATCGGCTATATCATGGTTACATCTCGGCCCAATATTGGCTATATCTTGGCCCAATATTGGCTATATCCTGACCCAATATTGGCTATATCATGGTTACATCTCGGCCCAATATTGGCTATATCTTGGCTATACATTGGCTCATCCTGTATTATATCCTGGCTACATCTTGGCTCAAATTATGATTTTCAACATACAAAAAGATCCATTCTCATATCAGTATCAGTCATAATATTTACAAAGTTAATTTCAAAATGTGAGAGAAACTTTAATCAAAATGTAGTAAAGCAGCAATACATTCACAAAGACTGCTCATCTATTAAAATCTGTATTATACCGATCCATTCAAATGTAATAAAACTATGACAAAACTATAACTATACTATAAGGTATTGATTGATAACCAGTGTTTCTTCCAGACTTTTTTCTCCGGAAGGGCACTTGAAATTTTTGGGGGGCGGACAAAATTTTCCGGGGGGCGGGCGGTCACTGTTAAAAGTATATATTTTTCTATATAAATTCCATTTCGTTCGGGGGATGGGCGGTAGACTTTCTTCGGGGGGGGGGGGGGGGGAGGGGGCGTTGTTGATAACGAATATGTAAACAGTAGTGTAGTAACTTTCATTTTGACTTTTATACAAACTTATTTGGATAAGACCCTGCTACCGAAGAAAGTCTGCTGGAATTTATATAGAAAGTATATACTTTTAACAGTGTCAGTCTCGTCCCCCACCCCCAGAAAATTTTCGTCCCCCCCCCCCACCTCCGAAAATTTCAAGTGCCCCCCCCCCCCCCCCCCCGGAGAGAAAAGTGCCTGGGTGTCTGGAAGAAACACTGTGTTAACTTAACAAAACATATGTTCTTATTGCATTTGGCATTTTTTTTGTCACTCTCTTGCGTGTTTTCATCCTGTGCGATCAATACCCACTCCTCTTGGTGTGTGCCACCCCCAACCCCCTCACTGATCTCTCCAAATATAAGAGAACTGGACAGAAGCGATGAAGATTGAAAATTAAACTTCAATAGAAAACATCCCAATTTGCTAGGTTTGAAAAATAAGCACTCATTTAGAAATTAATAGGATTGTTCAAAATTGAGTTACAAACCCATAGACAAATAAATCAATATGTTCAGTGTGAAAAAGCTTGTAAAAAAATCAACAGCAACAGCCCCACTCCCCCCCCCCCCTTTAAAACAATGACCATAATTACGAGTTATATCGCTCTATCTATATCTTTATTCTTAATTATGTTAGGTTTCGTTTTCTTTAAATTTTTTACTTAATGCGAAACTAAAATAAAAATTGACTTTTTCAAATTTAGATATGACTAGATTTACAAATACCCCCCACCCCCGCACACACACACACACACACCCAGCTTTGAGATTGTTATTTTTAAAACCGAATGCACGTGCGAATGATTCGTCGGCCTGGAATATTTTTAGCAACACGGGAAACCCCGCTACTTCGATGTGTCATGGCGGTGATGCGACATCAACCGGTTTGATATTTCTACGCCGTCATAACATCCACGTCAGGCTTACGTGCATGCGTTTGATTGTTTGTTATTGTTTTGCTATTCAAACCGATGAATAATTAAATAGCCCTGGCCCATTACAGACAACAGATATACTAAACAATACATACATGTTCTTTAACATTAATCTAAAGTCCTTCCAAACCTTTTTTTTTAAATTTATATATATTTATTTACTGAACTATTTAATTTAATACTATTTGTATAAAGGCCCTTATCACTGACGTCTATTTTTAAAACTTTAGTATAGACTTTAAATCTAGTAATTTAGGGATATACATATAATGAACCATAATATAATAATCCTCGCTGTTTTGTTACGATATTTGTATCTATTTTAAGTAATATATACTAGGATAACAACTTAACAAGGCATTCCAATATTTTTAAATCATGAACAATTGCAGATAACATTGACTCAAAGAAAATATAGAATCTGCTCAGCGTAGAGGATCATTCATTTTAACATTAACAATAGCATCCATACGCGAGGGATTAGGACTGTCGGCTTCACTTTTTGTGAATGGGCTTGGGGTTTTGCAAAAGTTTTGGTAGGCCTATAAATTATACACGTTAAATTAAACGTCCATTGCTGATCAAAACAAAAAAAAAAACGTTTATGTCCTTGACCTCAGACTGGGAGAATGGACAAAACATTTGTTACCGATAACAATTGCCATGATGTCAAAGATCAATCTACGAGAAGCAGTCAATAAAATGGTGCATTTGAATTGAGTCATTTATCCAATTCATGTTGCACTTGTACATCGAAATAAAAAATTAATAAAAAAAAAAAAGTTTAACAACAAGCTTTTCCACTTTAAAAAAAGTAGAAAATAAATTATTTTCTTTAAATATATAATAATGTAGTACTGTTGAAATAACTATTAAGAAAGCGTGGATCGCTTATCTTACATTTTAGTAAAGGTATTCAACAGATAAAGCTTGAAACAAATCGGTCCCGAAGTGGTCGAAATTATGCTCGCCCGTTTCGATCCACGACGAATCACCAAGCTCGACAAAAGCACGAGAAAGCAAGTTAAATAAAAGCGTGTAATCAGGGGCGTAGCGACCCTTCCTCGCGCCCGGGGACAAACTTTCGATTTGCACCCCTCTCAAACTTTTGATTTTTCACCCCCCCCCCCCCCCCAATTCAAACTTTCGATGTGCACCCCCCTCGAACTTTTGATTTGCACCCCCCCCCCATCAAACTTTCGATTTGTACCCCCCCCCTCAAACTTTAGATTACTTTTTCCAACTCATTTTGGCGCCCCCTAAGGTCGGCGCCCGGGGACATATGTCGGCCCCCCTCCCCCCCCCCCCCATCGCTACGCCTCTGCGTGTAATAAATGCTTGTAAAATTACTAACTTTATCAGACACAATAGGGGTCGGGGTCGGTAAAGCTCGTGGTTGCTGTACTGATAGTCTCGAGTTCGAACCTTCGGGCAGATGAGGACAGCAACTCATCTAGGAGAGACAACTTCAAAATCAAACAACTGCTGCCTTGTAGCTTGTTCTTGTTTGCACAAAAGGCTATGGAAGCATATTATTGTGTCGTAGGGAATCCCTTCCAACACTAATATCAAGAACGAAGAAAAGAAGATCAAACTCAAACACAATCATTGCGAGCAGCAGTGGCATAGCGAGATCGGGTGTCACCCGGTGCGGCACTTAATGGTGTCACCCCCCAGAGGCGTAGCTACCCTTCCCGGGAACAAACTTTCAAATTTTCGATTTGCACCCCCCCCCCCTCAAACTTTCGATTTGCACCCCCCCTCAAGTTTTCGATTTGCACCCCCCCCCCTCAAACTTTCGATTTGCACCCCCCCTCAAGTTTTTCTCTATATATTTTGCTATTTTTTGCCTTGGTGTCACCCCCCTAAATGGTGTCACCCGGTGCGGTCCGCACCCCCGCCCCCTCCTCGCTACGCCCCTGGCGAGCAGTATTGTTTCTCGTTGACACAATGTCTTAGCATCAACAAATGTACAATATAAAAAAGTTATATTTTAGGCTAGGGTGCCACTGTT